TTGTACGAGAGCCCCTTAAAATTACAGCCAGTCCTATTTATGCTGCAATCCTGTCCACATTTACCCATTTGCTCACTGTGTCCAATTCCTGGCACCACAATTTAAGAAGGATGTTGACAATTTGGAACGTGTGAAGAGGAGGGCAACCAAGATGATCAAGGGTCTAGAAACTAAGCCTTATGAGGAGCACTTGAAGGAGCTGGGTATGTTTAGCCTGGAAAAGAGGAGACTGAGAGGAGATATGATAGCCATCTTAAAATATCTTAAGGGCTGTCACATGGAGGAGGGAGCTCTGGAGGGTAGGACTCAAGGCAATGGATTCAAGTTCCAAAAAGGAGATTCCAACTAACATCAGGAAAAACTTTCTGACAGTAAGAGCTGTTCAGCAGTGGAACAGACTCCCACAGGAGGTGGTGGACTCTCCTTCCTTGCAGGTTTTTAAGCAGAGGTTGGATGGCCATCTGTCATGGATGCTTTAAGCTAAGATTCCTGCATTGCAGGGGGTCAGACTAGATGACCCCTGGGTCCCTTCCAACTCTATGATTTGTGCACCAGAACTGCAGGAAACAAGGAGTGATTTGTGAGAACAGTAACACAATCTTTGTTTTACTACTAGATTCTTTGAGCATAGAGTTAAGGATACCATCCTGGCTGGTAATTCCACTGCTGAAAAATCTTGACCAACGCATATTTTTAACGGAAGGGTTTTGTTTTTTTAAAGACGTTTATTTCCTTATTTATCCATTTTTCCAGGAACAAATGCCAACTCAAAAGGAACTGACTCGCTTTGAAGGAACAAATATTAAATTGCTTGCCCAGAGGGGAAACTATCTCTCAGTGGTATGTCAATCATTTCTATCCACAGATGAATGCCAGACAATTGTTAGGTCTTAAGACTGGCATTATCAGTTCATATGTTACTTTCATTAAAGGGTCTGGGGTTACATTTAGTTTATGAGGACTTTGTCAGCATCGAGCACTTCAATAACTGGAAATAATTACTTAGAATGTGGTCACAGAACCACCATACATTTAACTGTTGCCATCTGTCTGTCTTGGGAGACAACGTAGCAGACCCTCCAAGTGTCCCTATTTTCCAGGGATGTCACTGATTTAGAGAAGCCATCCTGGTTTCTGATTTGATCCCGGAATGTCCTCCTTTTCCTTAGGATGTCCCTATTTTCATTAGAAATGTTGGAGGGTATGGCGTTATCTGACCCCCAAGCCGTTTGAAGGCAATCCTGTATAGGGAAGTTTTTTTTTAAAATGTTTAATGTTTTATTATGTTTTTATATATGTTGCAAGCTCCCCAGAGTGGCTGGGTCAACCCAGTAAGATGTGTGGGCTATAAATAGTAAAATTATCATTATGGAATGGGATGGCCCTATTTTCACTGGAGAAATATTGGAGGGTATGATGTAAGAGTGTGCCTTGGGGGTTAAGTGAATCTGCTGCACTTGAATTCTGGTGCACTCATGGTGTTCTGAAACTAAATATATGCTTTAAGGTCGGGCAAAAAATCTTTCCCATGAGGAGCCTGATGAGTACCAGGTAACCTGAAGGAATTCCACTCAAAACTTTGCTTTTAATTGCATGGAAATAGAAGCAAAAGGCAACTGCAAGCCAAATAATTACGTATTTATAATGATGAAACTGAAGAGGCACCTCATAATAGGTAATGGTAACATTTCAGAACTAACTTCCATTCAGAACCATAGCTGTCAATTTCCCCCTTTTTTAAAGGGAAATTCCCTTATTCCGAATAGGATTCCTCGCAAGAAAAGGGGAAAGTTGACAGCTCTGTTCAGAACATAAGAAGAATCCTGCTGGATGAGGCCAAAGGCTCAGCTAGTCTAGCCGCCTCTTCTGACTAGTGGCCAGCCAAGATGTCCTGAGGTCCTGAGTATGAAAAGCAAAGGTAAGATAAACAAGATGTACCGGTAAACCTAAATCCTTAAGAAAAGTAATGAAAATTATTGAATAAAATTATTGAATAAAGATGCCAACATACCCAGTAAGGCTCTGTCAAAGCCTTGGATGAGGTCTGAATCTGATGTGAATGTTTGTGGCACTGTAGGTGTAATCCAAGGTGCAAATTCCAGTTTAATATGAAGAGTTTGCTCCAGGGGGGAATCTGCCAACTGAAAATGACCCTCACTTCCATCGGAAGGGGATGCTTCTTGTTTGGGCTGAGGAAAAAGAACTTGCCTGCAATGTCAGCCTCCAAGCAGGTTCTGGTTTATTATTCAAGCCAACCAGGGGGGTTCTGATCAAGATCCAATTATGACAAGCTGTGTCAGGTATAAGAGGCCCCATAACATGAACCAGAAAGTGTGTGTTATTCCAGCAGAAATTATAAACTTTTATATTTGCATATATAGGCAAGGTTGCAATTAAAAACATATATATCTTGCAGTAGGCCTATTTGCATTCGAAATATCTTTAATGGAAAACAGCTTACAATTTCTTGCTTGACTTTTAATGTTCAGCAACACAGGAGCAGTTACACACACATGCAGTTTGCACTTACTAAATGGAAGCGGAGATAAATTTAAACTGTTTGGTGACATTTTCGAGAGCAAACTCACAGAAATTTAGTAAAAATAATTGGAGGCCCTTCGTAAATGGAGCCCCTAAGCTGTAGCTTACTTAGCTTGTGCATAAATCTGAGACTGGTTCTGAGGTAATTTTTGTTTGGACGGCCCTAATGCTCAGGAAACTTCATGTCTGCTTACATTTGATGGATGTCTATGATTTTCCCCACAGCCACTGAAGTTTGTTGAGTTCTTTTCTTTCCCCAAAGGCTTAACATAAAAAGGGCTTGTATATATGCAATATTTTTTAACGGGGTAAGGGTGATTATTTTTCCTTCTTTGTTGACTCAACTATTAATGACTGTCAGTGGACAGAGCAGCCAGTCTTGACAACATCTCAGCCTCCCCCTATGAATCATGCCTTCTCCAATAAAAAAGCCATCAAGCTGTTCTCCTCAGCTTAGGAGCAGTTCATCTGTATCCGCCACAGGAAGCTTTGACTGGGATGTCTTCTAGCTTTGGGACTGAAGCTGCTCCTTTATGGTACATTTCAGGGTCTTAAAGTGGGCTCATTTTACACATGCACATGAATAATCTTCTATTGGCTAATGCAGTTTACTAGCTGACACAAGCAGGCAGGAGGACAAAAACACAGCATGCTGTAGCCACAGCATCAAATTGATTTTAAAGGCAATGATTTTTGAGAGTTTCAGTTAACTGGATGTGCCAAGGATGCTCATTTTACCTCCTCTTTTCAGAAAACCATCTCATTAGTCACCTGCACCCAGGTTGCTAGCAGACATTCATGAAGATGCATTAAAACAGCTGTTTTACAAGAGGGAATGATTTTACTAAATTAGTAATACAAGAGAGAGGAAGAGAGAATTTAAGTGTTTGACAAAATGCTGAACCAGCTGTTGCACTGGATAATCTGCAGTAGCTGAAACATGGCACAGGAAATGTGAGAGCGCTCCAAGCAGGATAGGCATACAGATGGTCTTGCAAATGGGGGGGGGGAATCTTGGGCAACAAATAATGATTTAGACCAGGCATGAGATGCCCGCAGACCAAGCGATACTTTCTGCAGCTGTCCTTGGCTGGATCTAGAAGACGCATTTCAGTTAAACACAATGTAAACTTTGTATGAGAAATCGGGTTGGCAAAAACGGAACTCCACAGCGCCATCTGGTGTCACAGTGTTATAATGCATATACAGTACAATGCATAAAAAGCACTTTTTCTTTGCCAATGTAGCTGAGTCCCTTGTGTCCTCTAATAAAGATCAATCTCCTGGTTCTGGGTTACTTTTGGTTATTGCCTTGTGGCTGGGTTGCATTTTTAGGTGAGCCACACAGTTAGTTGACTGTGTAGAATTTAAACGAATACATGCAAAAAGCAACAGCCCCTCCTTTCCCCAGGACAGGTGGGGAGATTATTTATTTAATGCAATTTATAACACCACCCATTTTCTTTCTTCATGGAACTCAAAGTGGCATACATGGAATTCTCACGCTGTCTCTCATCCAAGGACTGGCTGGATCCAGACCTAGCAAGGTCCTCACCTTGCCTGACCATCCCAGGGCAGCACCATGAGCCTTAACCTTTGATGTAAAATATAAGCTTGGTATCACACCTCTCACTTTTCCTCAGCTGGAGAAGAATGTGCAGCTTAAGGGCAATTTAAGCATGAACATTCTCTTTACAGGTGGCATTTCCATATAGGAAATAGCATACACATGCGTATTTTGCAGAGTCTGTATGCTGTTCACATGCTCTGGGAGACTGCATACAAATGAATGTATAGGATAATCATCCCTGATGACGAACACACATTTTGCATTTAGTTTCCCCCATGGAAGTGGAGAAGAGCTCTCAAAGAGCTCTCAGAGATGTTGGATGGAAGAAACATTTTCAGGCTAGCCTCCAGTGTTGATTTATGCTATGGCAAGGCTTGTATGTTCTTTCAGGTGATGCATTAATTAATCGGTAGGATTCCAGATATTGGAGGAGCCCACAGAGTCTGGCTCACACCTCTCAGAGGTGCGTACAAACAACAGACCAGGTTTATGCTGTTGGCAGACCTGCTTGTATGCCTTCTTACACACCTAGACAGCACCTGTAAGCTCTTCTTTCCACTTACCTTTTTTCATACAGCCCTCTGAGTCTTCATCTGCTCACAGACTCGGTCTCCATTGACATATCATTTTTGCTATATAAGTCTTCTTTCTTTCTTTCTCTCTCTCTCTGTCATGTACACTCTCTCCTTGGTACTGCAGATAAGCTCTCTCTAAGCCCTGGAGTTATATTAACCATGTTCAACAAAGAGTCTTGTGGCACCTAAGCATATTAACATTCTTCCTCTCAATGCTGTTAATTCATTTGCTAAGAAATTCAGGAGAAACCTCCTCAACCCCCCATGTTTTCTAAGAAATGTAGGCTGTAGTAAGATCACAGAGAAGCCCCAGGGTTTTTAAAAAGAAGCTCTTTTAATTTTAAAAATCTTTTTAGAAAACACATATGACAAGTTTACAGCATAAAAAATAATATCTCACTGGTATAAATGTGGCTTAATAAGAGTCTTAACATACATTTGTAAACCTAGGATAACATTAAATCTTTGGTACCTTAGTTCAAGACACCTTTCTGTCTTTCACTCCCATGATGGTGTACAAAGGATTAAAAGACAAGAAATGGATTTTGCTTCCCATTCAGAGACTGCTGTCAGTTGCTATAAGAAAGAGTCTCTATGGCTCTGCCCAGAGACAAGGATTGGGAATGCCAAAAAGGTGCCTGGAAAGTGGAACAACTTCCTCCACAAAGAGGAAATTTGATGGATGAAGAAGAAGAGACACATTGTGATTCATTTCTAATGTTATTTCCCCCCTATTCATTACTTTAAGATACATGTAACAAAATAAGAATAAAGTGGACATTTTTGTAGATGTCAAAAGATTATTAAATCCAAGTTTGATACACACAAATGGCAAAGTTCTTCTATCTGATTCATCAGAATCAGTGGCAATGTTGGCCATTTTGTCTCAGATTCTTTAATAGAAGAAACATAACATGGAACTGACCCTTTTAGAAGTGTTCAGATTATCTTAACACTGACCATATAATAACTGCCTATAATAATTGTCAGTAAGATTTGCATTATGAGTGTCTGTAAAGAAAGTAATCTGAGAAAGGATTCCCTTTTGCTTGGAACATGTGCAATGCTTTACAAATCAAACAGAACTGGTTTGATTCTCTAGTCCTCAATTCAGTGTTTACTGGTTTCCAAACTGTTTTTGAATGGTCTGCTTATTTCAGAAAGCTGGTGAGACTATGAAGAAGGGAGCTTAAATGCCAATATTGGCCAACTTCAATAACATTGTTTAATTGCACTTCTATCACCTGTCTTTCGATCTACGAAGGACATGTTGGCCCTTGGAAAAGTAGACAAGGCAACTCATTGTCCACCATACTAAAGGCAACTAAAGTCCACCATAATGTGGATCACACAACAGCAACAGAAAGTAAAACTCTCCCATTCTCTACATCCCTCACTTAATACAAACAACACAGTCAAACAGAAATGGAAAGGCAGAGACAAAAAAACTGTATACATATCAATCGCATAAGCATTTCAAAGCGCAGAAAATATATATATAAAAACATAAATTTGTAATGTGACAATATTCCTCTGGTACATTCTGGCTACATAGCAGTAGTGGGTGGCTGGAGAAAGGTGCTTATATTTGAACTGATAACAGTGAAACAGCTGTAGATTAAAATATTACAGAGACTATTACTAATATGCTAGACTAGAAATGAGACCAAGGTTGCAAAAATGGATTTGAGGCATTTCTAAAATTTAGCATGTTTCAGTCAGGGATTTGGTTAGCCAATATTCTAAAAATATAAAATAAAGCCAAGCAAACCCAAATGGCAGTAATGCAAAAAGACAAAACAGCAATGGACCCCTGGAGGAGGGAGACTCATAGGCCAAACCATGGCCATAAAAGTTGTGGAAACAGAAGAGTTCCTTGGTTAAGTACCTCCTCCTGCCTCCCACTCTAGTCTTGCCAATGTCAGGGGTCTAATCCGCAAAGGTCAGCTGTCTTGTATTAGTGTGAAAGTTTTATTACCTAGAACCCATTGCAGCTGGTGCCACCTGACGACTGGGGCCCAGCAGGTACAAATGAATTGCAGTGTTTGGGGGGGGGGACATGGTACCCAGCAGTCTGAAACAGTGGAATGGAAATGCCCAGTGACTTCAGATTTCCTATCTGTTTTTTGTTGGTGAGGACTTTGGCTCTGTGCAAAAAGTGACACCTAATCCTCAATTTCAATTGATTTGTGTCCTTGCTATACAAGCTATGAGAACATCCACTGGCGCTGCTTCAACCCAGGATGGGATGGGTGGGTACCGTGGCATTTGGCAGTGTCATTTGGGTGCTCCACTGGCCTCGGCTGGAGTCATTTTCGCTTGCAGCAACACTGTTAAACCACCGCCTCACCAAGATGCGAAACTGGAAAATGATTCAGCATAGTGGAGCAGAAGGCAAATCAGGTTGTTCATCCTTGTCAAGGAACCTTAGGCGTAGCAGAGCATATCTGTCCAGTTACAACTATAGCCCATTGAGCTATATAATTATATATGGCTACTGTGCTCTTTAAAATGCTGGCTTGTATTTCAGGTCACACCAAAATCCCATCACAGAGCATAGGAAGGTGCCTGACACCATGGCAGACTAAATTGACTGGCAATAGCTCTCCGGGATCTCAGTAAATGTCTTGGCCAATGCCAGGGAGACCGTCTGCATGGAAAGCATCGTGTGCTGTTGCCACTGGGCTACAGGTCTCTGACCATGGAAAAGTACTAAGCCCATTGGGCTAATACTGTTTAAGCCAGCTGGGATAAAACATTGTCCATGCTACGGTAATATATGAACATGGTGTAGTTACTATACTACATAGCACTTAAAAAGAAGCTATGCCATAGTGGTCTTACCCATCCCCACCCAGAGATATTTCCACCATATTAATGTCCTAAAGTAGAATGTCAATAGGTCATTTCTACAGGCAGCAATATCATCTAGTAGATAACTACTTTGAATTACGAGTGTAATTCAAAGACTGATTGAAAAGGATGTGTCTTTCAGTTGGAAAGAGATAAACCTGGCACTGCCCATGATTTATGGAATATACTTTCTCGCTGCCATAACACTAATCCTTTTAAGTGGCACATTATTTTGAAAACACCCCCTGCTTCAATTACTAGTACTTAAATCTAAATGTATAACAAGAAAATGGACAGAAAATTAGCAAATACAACATTGGGAGTGGGGTAGTTGTAGGTACTAATGCCTTTTTAAAAAACTCACCATTATAGTAAATGTACTGAAAAGCCTTCTTTCTTTCTTTCTTTCTTTCTTTCTTTCTTTCTTTCTTTCTAAAAATCCCTAACTTGACTCACCACCCCTCCCCCATCTATATCTATGGAAGGCAGTGAAAGATATGGTACAAAACAAAATAAACAACATTTTGTTAACACCAACCAGAATGCATATTTAGTGAATTGGAGGAGACATTAGAGTCAACTCTGCCAGGAATTGCTTCTGTTAAGGAAGGCTTCGAGAAAAAGCAGTTTTCCTACTGGGGCATTTCTGGCTGAGGCAAGTTTGGATTTGATCTACAGATTATGATGAATGAGAACCAAATTTGACAGTTCATGACCACAGTGAGAAACCATATTTTTGAAGCTCTTTGCATGTAATAGGCCAGCACTCCAAAAAGAAGGCTACACAGCTCTGCTGTGCTACACATAGTGATTTTCTTTTTTACAAGGGAGAATATTCAAAGTGTGCTGCCCCCCACCTGTAATTTGAAGTAGCATGGGAAAGAACTCTGCTAGCTCATTCTGTCTAAAATGTAGATTAGCTCTGAGGCACACTGGCAGGAATTTTTCAAGATTCTCTTAAATAGAATATATTGAGAACCTCACCTACCATCTACTGCTCATCTTTGGAGTAGAATCTCCTCTACCCATCCTCATCATCTCCCAATGCTTTGTGCTTAAAACAAGAAAAGTAAAGGTTCTCTATATAAGTCTGATATGAGATGCAGGCTATGCCATATGGTAGGCTTTGGCGACCTGGTGCCCTCCACTTGTTTGGGACTAACTTCCATCAGCTCTAGCCAGCATATGCGAACTGCGGCTGATGGGAGTTTCTACTGCCAAACTGCAGAAGACCATTATTATCTCAAGGAGATTTGGGTGGTGCCCAGCAATTGCCCCTCTCATGCCCAGATAATGTTTAAAAATCCTGTGGATCTGGGCCTCTAGGTGGTTAATTATGTTTATTCCACAAACTAGTAGTTTCTCACAGTTCATCATGCTGAGACAGCACTGTGTGGGAAACATGACCTTCTAGATAAGCTTTCACAGTGATATCATCCTGACACCTGCTATAGGGAGCATTAGCTAGCTCTGGAAGTGATCTATGTTGACTTCCTGCCAAGTATTAGTTAGTCTTTTGCTCTGGTGGAAAACAGATGTATCACCCAAATTCTAGCTGTGTATATATACCCCCAAGAGCATGTTTGTTAGTCAGAACCTCCATACTAGGCTACCTGGAAAGTGCTGTATACTGGTCAAGCTCCAGGTCATGCCCATTGTCTGTTGAGGGGCTCTCCAACAGCATCATGGATGTATGAAAATGGCAATGCTTTGTGGTTTTCTTTGAGCTGTTTAATAAAATCTTCAGCCTTCACCCCATTGTGTTCTGAATCCAAAAAGAACCATTGCCCCTTCGGGTGCAACAGAGTTGTAGTCCAAAACATTTGGAGGGCATCAGGTTGGCAAAGGCTGCCATATGCACAACCTGCATTTTTCCTGAAAGAACCTGCCAACAATCCTTTCCCCTTAGAGGCAGAATGGGACAGACCAACGACAACGGCTATCAATTGACCTCCAAGGTAAAACAAATATAGTGCAGTTTGCCTTTCCTCACAAGGTACACTAGCATCCTCCTACTGGCCTCAGAAAGACCCACTTGTTCCTTTTAAAATGAGAAGTCTGATAAAAAGACAGAATGCAGAGAAATGTAGCCGTGGACTGTCCTGCTGTTGCCACAGCTGAGTCATTAGTTGATGGTCTCCATTTGCTCAGTATGTCCTTGGGCGATAAAATTGTGGCTTTAGGTCTAGTCTAGACAATCTCTGATCCTTGAGATCTATTAGTACCTGTAATCCATGGTACCTGTATCTGTACCATCATTTTCGTGATCCTGGAACTACTCAGCAAAAGCAGTGGAGAACCCAGGCAATGAAGAGCACAACCCGAGTGAAATGCCTGATATTGCTCTTCTGTTGGTCATCATCATAATGCTGCCCTGAACAGAGAATCCATGCAATGTCTGTAAATTGGATAAAACTGTGGGCAGATCACTTCTCGGTGTCTCCTTCGCTAGCAAAGGAAAAAAACAAAAAAACTGTCCATACATACGTACATTCATACCCCATCCACACTTTCATGATAAGTTTTAAAAGGTGTAATTTAATAATCCATTGATTAGAGAATTCATTGAACAGTTGCTGGCCTCCAAAATCAGCTTGCAAAAATAGAAAGTGAAACAATTAGAGTAAAGGCACTCCTCAAGAGAACCACTGGGGGTTTTTCTCTGTCTTGATACAAGGGGAACATGCCTTATTGTAGAGAGATTAGTCTTATACGAAGGTTCATTCCGCTCCAGCCATAAGGTAGTGAGGCTGTCAAGCAAAGAGTGACATTTCTCATCATGATGGTCTTGGTTAGCAGAGACAAGTATGAATGGAGAATGAATTCTGCATTAGGCAATGGAACGAAAATAGTCTCAGTTATGAAGCGTGAGGAGCCATATAAACTTCTACTCAATCCTGGCTGCAGAAAGTCTCTTCAATGTTACAGTTTCTGGGTTCTGCTGTGGGCTGAAGAAAATGGCATATTGCAGTATGGCTGAAGGAGAGGGAAGCACCAATTTGTGACCAGAACTCCCCCGTACCACCATGCATGCACACACACACACACATGCTCTCTCTCACACACCTCTCTAACAATCCTGGCAGTCTAGCTTTAGTTCTGGTGCTTTTTGTTCTTCTTCTTTTTCTTTTTCTTTTTCTTCTTCTTCTTCCTGTGGGGTTAGAGGGCTGTCGCAGGATATAGTAGACGATGTGTGTGCTTCATTCAGTGAAGAGCTAATGGTGGAATGAGCAAAGAAGAGAAAGAGAAAGAATCAAGTTTCAGCTTTAATCAGGAGTCAATACATTACGAAAGCCTTAGCTGGGTGCCATGTGGGCTGCCATTCTGATTTCTGAAACCAGTTGTTGTTCTTCTTCTTAAAGAAAATTCCATAAGAAGCTTTGGACAACCATGTTCCCCATCTCCAAAATGGAGTAAATATATGGGGGCCATTCAGTGACTATACTGAAAGGTACTTCCAAATATGGGTTTCAAAATCTTCAGTCATTCTACCTAAGATTATTTTCTCCATTTGTACTTCATAATCATTTGGCTCTTTGGCAACCACCACTTCAGGGTGTTCCAGCGCCCTGATATTTCAGGATACTTCAAAAGGAAGAGCAATAGGTGAGAAAAACCTTTGGGAACCACCACTTCAAGGCACACAGAGCCAAGAATAATCCACTCAGCTTCCATACTGGCTACTGAGTATAAAAACAGTTTAATATACTTCACCTGCAGGTAACCAATTGGTAGAACATAGATAATGGAGGTCTGGGAGTGAATAATGTCACAGTGGAAGAAAGATTAAGATTCTAACCTTGCCCGACTGCTGGAGGCCTCCTGCGGGTTTTCATTGGCTCCCTCTGGTTTAAGGTCCGGCAAAGGAATGATGTAATCATTGTCTAATTCATTCTGTTCAACAGCTGTATAAAGGACAGTGCCTGAGGTGGTGCTGGAATTGATGGCAGTGGACCTGGAATTGTTGAGACCTGAGTTCCAGGGCCTTGTGCGGACAATAGCAGGGTGGTCGCTTTTCAAGAATTCTTCATTGACTTGTTGGTACTTCTGCTCTCATATAAGGCATATAGGACAGAAAGTGCTTGTGAGTGCATGAATACCACAAGTAATGTTTCTGCACATGGCATTTTCATACAAGGACAAGGTTATTACATAAGATAAAGGCAATGCTGAATTCTTATTGATTCTAAATATAAGGACAGCCCTGATGAATCTACAGTTTCTTAAGAGCACAAGTCTGTGAAAAAGGCTAGCTCCAGACCTGGAACTGAAAATGGCAATGAAGAAACCAGAATCATACTAGAAAATACTATAATGTTAGACAGTCCACTTTCCCCACCACTTTCCCTCTGTAATCAGATTTACTCCCAATCTTTTGCACAATCTGTTGCACACTGGTGTCAACAGTCATGGACGAGTTTAGAAATGAGGCTGTTTTCTGTGCTCTCCTCCTATCATTTTTATCCTCTCAGCCCAACCCAACTCTACCTTCTTGTAGCTGTCTGCCAGCAGGTTCCCCACGAGTACCACCAGTTGAGAGAAAGAAGGTCGGACCTCAAATTTCTCATCCCAGCATTTCTGCATGATTTCATAGCTGGAGAGACACAAAAATCAAATAATAATAATTTGGGAAGTGCTATACTGGCTTGCTGGTCAGAAGGTTGGCGGTACGAATCCCCACAACAGGGTGAGCTCCGGTTGCTCGGTCCCAGCTCCTGCCAACCTAGCAGTTTGAAAGCACGCAGTGCAAGTAGATAAATAGTGGGAAGGTAAACAGCATTTCCGTGCACTGCTCTGGTTCACCAGAAGTGGCTTAGTCATGACTGGCCAGTAAAGCGAGATGAGCACCGCAACCCCAGAGTTGTCCACGACTGGACCTAACGGTCAGGGGTCCCTTTACCTTTTTTATACTGAGAGAAAGGAAGGGACTTTTTCTGTACAAGATAGGCAAACATATGCTGTTAACACTTACATCTCATCAGAAGCATGTGTAGGCTTGGACATACGATAGCCACGTTTGATAGCATTGTAGAATTGCTCATTCATGGGCAGTTCAGGATATGGAGTCCCACCTAGGGATAAAAAAGGAGGTCAAGCAAAACCAGTTAGTGGGGAAACTTCTGTATAATGCATGCCAATGCCAGCACCACCTCATTCTAGTCTCTTTCTCACTACCAGTACAGCAATGGTAATGGCAACAGGCTATTGTTTGGTGGCCCCTCTGAGGACCGCACTGACAGTACACATGAAATTTATCACATGGACTTTCAGGTCAAACTTCTTCATGCACAAATTGCCAGTACAGGGATCCCAGCATGTATCAGAATGCTGCCCCTGCCCCACCCCCACTTATCCCTTTGCCCCTACTGTGGTCTCATTTCAGATCAAGGGGTCTGTGCCTGCAATTTGTATTGGGGAAAAGAGCTCAAATTCACTCCACTCTGAGTTTTTCCTCAATGCAAGTTGGATGGATAAAGGGTTATAGCCCTACTAAGCCCATGCCATGGTCCCAGTCTAGCCCACACACAGGAACATGGTCAGTGAATGAACTAACAAATGATGTGATTAACTTGCAAACCCAGGCTGCGCACTCCCAAACACACACACCTTTCAGGGGAGCTACCAATAAAGGAGAACACAGTTGAATGAGACTGAATCAGGCTACAACTTTATTGACTACAGATGAAGTGGTTTCGCGTAAGCATTGGTTAAGCATTTGTATTTCCAGGCTGCCTACCGGAAATGACACCAGGGTCCACCTGGCAGCAGGGATTCCTATGACTTACATCAAATAGGGGGATCCTCACAGGGATCCCCACCTCTAGGAGCACTGAGGCCCAAGCCCCCCATCTGGGCAAATGGACAGAAGCAACTCCATCACAGATCCCTTTAACGGGATACCCTATTTCTGGAGGGGAAGGCGAGGGTACAACTAGGCAAAGGTTACCCAATGCCTAAACCGCCACTGAGCTGGGCATCGGGGGCTGGCGTGGGCTGTTTTAAGTCCCCTGGGAGCAGACCTGAGGGAAGCCTTATTGTCCCCTCAAGCCCACCCCCAGAGAGACCAGCCCTCCGTGCCAGCCTGCCATTGGCCAATTCGGCAGGCTGATGCAAAGCAGGATTTCAAGTCAGGTGATCTGAATCTCGCACTCCGGCAAGGATCAGACCCCGACGCCCAGTCCTGCATTGTAGGCAGGAGGGGAGGCGCTGGCCTTCCTGCAAAGCCGCTACATCCCTAAAAGAGGGTAAGCGGACATCATGCATAGTTTAGTCCTTAGCTTGAAAGATTCTGGGCTTGTGTGAAGGTACTTATAGTGTGGCATATGAAGCATATGTAGATTAAAGAGAGTGAGAAACATTGTTTTCATTCCGTACACAGGAAATCCAGTAAGTGGGATGGGTCAAACAGAGTCTGGGTGACACTGACCAGTTGCTTACCCAGAGTGAATATTTCCCAGAGGAGGATTCCAAAGGACCACACATCACTCAAGGTAGTGTAGAGGTTGTTGAAGATGCTCTCAGGTGCCATCCATTTCAATGGCAAGAAGGTCTATAACCAAAAGACACAGCAGAAATGCAGTGATCTTCAATGAATTTTCATCTGTTTGCTAACAGTGAGGGCCTTCCATGTGACTTTTAATGAAACCTAGTCTGTAGCATGGGAAAAGCCACCAGGTATTCTATTTAGGATTATGGTATATTCCAGGGGAAATATATGCATGGAGAATTTTATGCACATAGACTTCCCTGCATAGAAATTTGTGTGTCTAGGCTTCCCCTGCTCAGACATCCATGTTCAATGCATGAGCATTGGGGTGGCGGTGGGGGGAGGGAGGAGATGACACCAGAGAGCAGTGAAACACCAAGGACAGGGCCTGTAGCTAGCACATAGAATCCCCTTCAACATGGCAAGTCCTCTTCATGTCTATAATGTGTGAAGGGAGTTAGTGAGTTTCCAATAGTCGAAGCAAAATGCTTAGAAACACGCCCAGTGTGGGCAGGAACAGTGCCCAGTGTGGGCAGGAACAGTTAGGCAGTGTGCTTGATAGAAAACAATGAACATGATGAACATAAGAGGCTCTGGCAAAAGGGACAGGCATACAATTCTTGCTACCCTCATTTCCTGTACTTGTCTCCGCAGTTTCCAGACCATACTTATTTGTGACATATGAAACTAGCCTGCTTCTGGTTTTCTCTCTAGCAGCTTGCGTGCTGCTTTCCTATTACAATTCCCTGAACTCTTAGTGGGCTTATTTGTGCAACCAGCATCAAAAATAATCTCCAGGAAGGATTGCGAAGGACCACGGTTTCATTTCCCTGTTCATCTAAGAGAAGGGTCGTGTAAGGGAGATTCTGAGATGTGCAAGGTGACTCACAGTGGTTAGATTATTTAAGCCTCTGAAAACCTCAGCCTGTGCATTCGCACAATCAGCTCAAGACAAAAAGAATCAGATATGTGGCTCCTGAGGATAACTGCAGAGTGCTTTGAGCCTTGTATATATGGGTATTTTTTTATTAGAACAAGATGCTATCCAATGACAGCAGGAGCCAAATGTCTCAGTGGCTGCCATGTAAAGGAGAAAAAAGCATATGCAATGGTTGTTTCAGTGGATATTTGGGATAGTCCCACATATAGGAATGTGCCAGCACAGACTGCAGACTGAAGCTTCTAGAAAGTTCTTGAAGAATACTCTTTCCATGCCCCATCCACTATAGCCGTCTGTGCTGAGAAGCCTCCTTGCCCAGATTCCCAGAAATTTGGGAAACCAAAATTGGTAAGGCTAGCATGGATCAGTTAGGATGCAAGGAGTTTTGTTGCCTATTATCTAGTAAGATGACTCATGGAATTAAAAGGGGACAGAGGAAATGCATAAACCACTGTGAAGCAATCCATTTGTTGAACACAGGTCATGAAGGGCTTTGGTGCAGAATCAAGAAATGGATGTGGGCCTTGTGCTGTGAGAAGGTTAGAGGCCCAGAGCTGAGACATGCCAGTCAATGTAGTATAGAGGAGGAGATGGAAGGCAAAGATGTGAGAGGAAAGGAGCAGAAGAACCCAAAGCTAGAGAGGGTGCATCCACAGCCTTGCATTTAGAACCAGGAAGGGGATGTCCGGTGTGCAGATTTGAGGGGTGGAATATACTGCATTCCAGAACCAAAGAAATGCTCTGCTGCCACAGTCAGAGACAGTAATGTTTTTGAATACCATTTATTGGAAACAGCAGGAGTTGGGGAGAGTGCTCTTGTGCTCAGGTTTCCCACTGGTTGGCCACTGTGAGAATGAGATGCTGGCCTGGATGGCCCATTGGCCTGATCCAGCAGCCTCTTCTTACATCCTTAAAACCAAATGGGGTTAAATAAGGGGTAGGCAGACTACTGGGGTCAGAAGGAACCATGTTTAGCTGGGCTTCCTTGTGAATGTAGATAAGATCAGGAAGACCAGGTTCCTTACAACTGATGACTTCTGCGGTCTCAGCACCAGCTATTCTTTTCCCGTGAAGTCAATATCAGAATTTTTAGTGTGAAAGAAGTGTCCTAGGAGGGTTCAGGGCTTCCTGAAATATTTGAATGATTGGAAATTGCAGAAATGTGGGAAGCTCTGGTTGCTTTTGCTTTATACACTTAGGAGGCTCAGCAGCTATAAGAGACGAGTGGTTGGCAGCACTGTTGTCTGTTCATCATGCACTGACAAATGAGGGAGATGGGGCTGCTCAGTAGGTCCAGTGAAGTTCTAGAGATTGCGTTAAAATTGGAGGTTAAGTTATAAGAGACATAGTAACCATGGGAGCTCTGGACTAGAGGATTTACTCATAGCCAATGACTAAGACAGTATTCAGGAAACTGAATCATGATCATCTAGGGAAGCAGAAGCAAGTTCTCAGGGGGACTGAAGGAGGTTTTAAAACAAAAGTTGGAGGAGCTGAATGAGATGGAGACAGTGAATCACAAAAGAAGGTGAAATTGTTGTTTGGAGCATGAAAATAATTTATGGGCCATATATAACTTGGAGCTTGGCGATCCATTTCTCAGAAAATAGCCTGCAGATGCTCTGTAAAGAGGTCAGGAACCAGTTTTGTAAGTCTCCGTCAGAAGTTGGAGACATCTGTCATGTGGCTCCTACAAAGACAAGACTCATGGAAGTTCAAAGGGACACTCAGAGTCCATGTAATCAAGTCACTCACATTGCCTTTGGAGATGTAATTTGAATCCCGCATTATGTCTCTAGCTAGACCAAAGTCACAGATCTTCACCAGTTTCCCCTCGCAGATCAACACATTCCTTGCAGCCAGGTCTCGGTGCACACACTGTGGAATAGGGAAAAGACACAGTATAAAAACTGTTAAACAGTTATGATTTTTCAAGAAATCTGCTGCTTTCTGCAGGAAGCGCCTTCGGACCAAAGCAGCATCAACAAGAAATTTTTGTGAAATAGTAGTGAGTGCACTGTGATCAAACGATGGGAGGAATTCAATGTCATGCTAAGGAAATTGTTCCATCAGTGCAAGTGTTTCAGCTTGCCTGGCAGAATTATTCCCCCTTCCCCCGCTATACACTAGTCTGGAGATTATCCTGACCTCACAAACCAATTTTGGGGGCATATGGGGGAATAGAGGAGGGAAAACCTTGTTGGAAATCTTTGCACAGGGCTTCCACTAATAGGACTTGTTAGGTGAATCCTGCCCAATAGCTTTACAATAGCTTTGAGAACCATCCCTTCCATTAGGCAGATCTCTACCCCTTAAGCTAGCATGCTGTCCTCAGATGCAGTAGAGGATACAGTCCCATCACCAGTGTTGAAGTCTCTGCCAGTCTGGTGTTATTTCATCTCTGCTATTGCCTGTGGTTCATACATTTGTGGGGTTTTTCTTCTCTTGTCAGGCTGCAGTTTCTAGTTTTGCAGGGTTTTGTAGTGCTTCAAGTAAGACCCTGAAAAACCTGAATGCAATCAGCTCTAATGCAGAAGACACACATGTTTTTAAATGACTGATATAGGTTTTGAGCTACTTTATTAATGATGTGGAAACGCAAATGCATAGCCAACCGCTTTACAAAGCGGGAAGAGTGGGTGTAAGGCCTGATGTTCAGAACATTTTCTTTTTGTAGCGTCCCTTTTATTCTTGACACTGACTAGAAATTGCAGTTTAGGAATCAGAGCAGGAAAGCAGTGAAAATATGTTCTTCACGTTATATATGATGATGGTTGCAAAGGAATAATAATTGTACACAGCCTGAGAATCTAACATTGTGGAATTAATTAACTGTGTTTTCTTGAACCTTTGTGCTTTTAGTCTCAGAGTTCATTGCTGAATGGAACCTCTCCTGAGGGATGACACCTTTCTTGCATGCAATTGTCTTGCATTTTCACTTCTCCATTCTCTTGCACAAGTCTGTTGCCTAACAAAAGCCTTTAGATTAGCACTGCTTCAGTATGCTTACCTGCGGTACCATTAATAGCCTGTGGCATTTGTGTTGTAAGTGTAATGTTTCAGAACAACTGTGGCTTGCAGGAATGCTCTCTGGGAAATAACCACAGGGCTTAGGTGTGGTAACTCTTAGCAGTAACTTGGTCTGCGCGAGTTTGACTACTTTCCCCATGCTTCCTTTTCCCAGTTGTTGTTGTTTTTTTAAAAAAACACCTTCTGTGAAAAGGATGACTCAGCAAGGATCAAAAATAATACAGCATCACTGAAATGCCATTGGGTGATTTACAGTCTGAAGTTATCCCAGTGAAATGGCAATTGTGTTAGTTTGTGGCAGCAAACATCACTTTGCAATTCAGCTGTAAGAATACTTACATTGTCTAAGGGCAGCCCAATGCATGCTATGCCACGTAGGTGGAGGGCTGTGTTTAGTGTGTGTGACTATACATCACAAGGGCATACATTCAGACTGGTAGTGCAATTAATCACCTTGAGAGACTTGGTCTTTCTTTCTTTCTTTCTTTCTTTCTTTCTATTTTAAAGTAAGTTTAGCTCTCTAAGAGTCAGAGGAAGTATATAGAAATTGCTGAAACCAGTAGGGGAACAAAGCAGTATTTGCAGTGGCCAGGAGGTGGGACTGCAGTGGCTGCATAGCTTTTTGCTCCCCCCCCCTTCCCCCATGACTACGAGAACCAAAATAAACTATGGAAAATATACACGAGTTTATTAACTTGTAAAATTTATACAAGTCACAAAATGTAGGTTTTCTTGGCACAGAACTTGAGTCACCTTAACATAGAACAATTTTTTTAAAAAGCAGTCTTATATCAACAATGATTTCTACATTGAAACAGGGAAGGTAACTTCCTCAGAGTGGAGAAGAATTGCTTTCAGGAATAGTACTGGCAGATGCATTTTTAACGGTATCTCCATAGTCCATATTAGCACCGAAAAGACCTGAAATAGGGACATGACTAAACTCTGGTCTGCCTTGAGTCAAGAAGAGATACTACTGACTTATAAAGCCCCAAACAGCTTAGTGCCTGGGTACCTAACAGATCACCTTCCCTACTACAAGTCGTATCAACATGGCCAGCACCTCTATGAGGCGAGGTGAGGCAGCTGCCTCAGGCAGCAGAAGCCTAAGAAGCAATGCCCCCATAGATGCCCTGCCCATTCTGCTGCCTCCGCTGCCAGTGGAGCAGCAGCGATGGCTTCTGGCAAGATGTCACAGAGCACATGAGATATCTCCAGAAGAGATGGATTTTTATAGTGTGTGTGTGTGTGTGTGTGTGCGCGCGCGCACGCACGCACGCAAAATACTTTTGATTTTACAGTGAAGCTAGACTGCATATCATTGCATTATAATAAGTTTATTCATTCATATTTCATTATATTATAAACCGCTGAAGAGGTTTTGCTAAAAATGTAAATGGGATACAAATTACCTGAATAATTTGTGGGATAGAAATTACCTGAATAAATGAATTAACTTCATGATATGCAGCCTACCTTCACTGTGTCATGTCTCTGGTCCGCACCCTCATGTAATGAGCTAATATTGCCTGTTCCCAAGAAGAAGGAAGAAGCAGCAATGTCTAAAGGATGGCTAGTACCACATGACTCAAACATCCTGTCTCTGTTTATAATGAAATGTACTAAAGCTAGCTGATCCTAAACCCCTCTACCTGCTTCCATTAATTTCATATTCCACAGACATGCCCAAAAAGACTTTGAAGCCAGTCATCCCTAGGTATTATTACATCATTCTGAATATAAAAAGTACTTGCATTTTTGGAAGCTAGGAACTCCATTCCATTGGCAACCTGAAAACTAATTCCAACAAGATCCACATAGCTGAGGAGAGGAGACTCATTTATCAACGCCACCTTTTCAGAAGCTGAAAACAAGGAGCAGAGATACAATCAGACATCACACAGGTCTAACTACACCTACACCCACACAATAAAAGCCTTGCTAAAACATGGAACCAAGAGATATCAGGAGTAATATTAGATGCTTACTTCTCCTGACACTGAAAATACAATGTAAGGATGACACAGACAACAGCTTCGGTTCTGCATATTGGATTTTGAAGCAATTAAACTGTTTTACATTGGTATGACTGGACACCCATGCATGCAGCCTGTCTCTGTCACTTCTCTTACCGGATGGTGAATAGCTGTCCAGCTCATAGGTAGTACCATAATTGGAGGCATCAATGTCCACGTACTTGATTTCACCCTTCATATCTGACATGGGCACTGACATAGGCACATAATCCAATGACTCATCTTTGCTCATATCCATGTAGCCCCCATCACTTTCCACAGATAAGGAAACATGGCTGCAAAGAGGGGAGAAGTTTATTTAGACCATGAAAGAATCTTCCTGAAGAATGCCCCTTCCTTAGTAGGCATTATTTTATTTTATTTTATTTTTAGTTTGGCTTGAGGGAATTGCTTCAACCATCTGCATTGTACTGCTAAAATATTCCTTGCACATCTGGACTGGGATCAACAGTTGGCCTTGATTTTCTACGTGCTGCAATTCACGATAATCTCAACGGAGTGAATTAAGTAGTAAAGAGTCACATGTGGGGCAAATGCATATGGATCTTTGTTACATGGAACTGAGTTCCAGGTGGCTCTCACCTTGGGGCGATTCCAAATGTCAGCCCCATGACTGAGGTTATGTAAATCCTCTTTGAGCAAAACAAACAACTTGGGCAAAATTGTACTGGAATCTAGATGTCAACTCCCTTGATACCGATTGCAAAAGAGTCCGCCTTAGAAATGTAGAACTAAAATAAGCACACACGCAAACGCAAGGGAAAGCCAGCTCTGTGCTGAATTTGCTATCCTTTAAACTTGTTTACAGAGATGCTATAATTCACAGGTTTCCGTTTCAGAAAGGCCACACTCCTGTATGTAGATGGCGATGGAATAACAGTAGCATGCACTAAAGAAAGGGGAGAGTGTCAAACAGCAGGTACCTCTGCACTCTGTCCTCGGTGGGGGCATTCCCATACACCTCTGCTTCCTGCTTGGCTTTCTCGCTGCAGCACTGCAGGAAGGTGTGCTTGTTCCTGTGCAAGTAGTCCACCAGGTCTCCATAGCGACAGTACTCTGTTATGATGTAGATAGGGCCTGCAGAGAAGAAGAACAGCTCTAGCCATCCAGGTAGGAGTACTGCTTTCCTTGACTATGACTCGAGAATAGGGCAATTGTGGCCTTACAGAAATGGTAACCCACTTCAGACTCCAAGTGTGGGGCTCATGTTGCTGAATACTTCTACAAGCAACAACAACAACAACAGCCAACCCTCTGCATTGAAAACATGCATGCCAGGAGGGATATTCTGTTAAGTGAATCCCTGCTGGCAATGGTGCAGCTAGACATACATTTTACCACCCAAGTGCGAAAACTAGGTGTGTGTGCATTATTTCTTTATCAGAGTTGAAAGCGACATTGCTTGCTTTGTCTCCACATGTTTTAAAGCAAGTGCTCCCTCTGAAGCACTTGCCTTGCATGTTGCCTCCTGCCTGCTATTTGACCACACAGCACGGATCCCGTGCTAGGTTAGTGTGCGAACCAGGCCGTTTGTTGCTCAAGGCTGCCCGTTTGCATTTACATGTCACACTTTCTGCTTTCATTTATTTAGATTAAGTAGAGGCATTTTCTGAGGAGTTGCATAGATGTGTGCACAAGTTGTTGTGTGGACCTCCACTAGCACTGGTCCATGTTCATAAGTATGCAGGCTGACTGGCCAAACAACTAATCATTTTTATAAGTGTCATGTATTAAATATCTGTGGGCACAAATGGGGCAGAGCATTCTCTAGGGGAGAGAATCTGGGACTGCCAAAAAGAAAGGCATGCAAGCATCTACTGGCAGCTGTAGCAGTTGATGGGTGTGCTACTTAGTGCTTTGAAAATGGAGAAAATGCGACAATGCTGTCATAAAGCTGCAACAGGAAGTGTGGAAGGACTACACATTGTATCAAAATAACTGTTTTGCTTCCAGCTATTTGCTGCCCCTCCCCTACTGTGTCTAACTTGTCTTGTTGTGAGATCAGTCTCTATAGCACTAAAGGCCTGGGGGGGGAAGGAAAATGTGGTTTTGAAAATAATGAAATGATTAAAAATATCAGGGCAAAATAACAATGGACCCATTACAAGAGCACAACGGGGGGCAGCAGAGGGGGGGGGCTATCATTCTGGTGGGCAGTCTAAAATAAAAAGGTGGAGAGGGTGGGTGAACCTTTTTCTTTCAGTTCCATAACATGGAGGTTTGGATAGTGACAGGGCAATTGGCAGGTTTTCTTCACCTGCCGGAAAACAACCACATGGAACAGCACTTTAGCCGATGGAACAGCATTAGACCCTTCCAACTCTCCCTGCCCCAATGCAGGTTTATTATTTTCTCAGATTAAAATAAGACCTATTAATGATAAATGTTTCAATGTGCATGGAGGGGAAGAGAAAGGCAAGGGCACAGGAACACAGTCGTGACGCTGGTACCTCCTTTGGTGCAGGCTCCAAGCAGGTTGACAATGTTCAGATGAGGCCCAAGGTGACTCATGATCTTCAGTTCCGACATTAGTGCCTGCTTCTCACTGCTTCTGGCAGTAGCTGTAAGATGGGTGGATCAAATTATGAAATGCAGAACAGCAGCTTAGAAGTACAAGGGGGGGGGAGTGCTCTAGACACATCCATCTTCAGAAAAATGTTAACATCGGATAGACACAGAGAAATGATCAGAAGTGGGAAGAAAGAGACAACAGGTGACAACAGGTAAGGGGAAGCCTCCTCTGGATTGCACACTTGAGGGCTGACAGCACAATCCTTTATTGTGACTACTCAGAAGTATTGGGTTCAAAGAAGATTACATCCAGGTGAGCATAGATTGCAGTATGAGCATCACTCACCTCACCTGGCCACTACCAAAAAGTAGATTTCCATGTGGCTGTATTTCATACTGTGGAGTGTTATATTGTGGCTACCACATAAGCAAGCCACAAACCACAAGTGATTTCACATCACCTTGGATTCAGGAAATGGCTAAAGGTTACTATGTATTTTTTCTTTGGGGAAACAGTTTGCTTAATGGCATGCTTTTATGCGTGTCACATGAGCAAGGCCAGTGAACACTGAAGACACAGGCAGAAGATGGTGAAAATATATTAGAAAGACAAGGTGCATGGAAAGGGGGTGCGAACACTTGGCAGCAAGGGGGAGAGAAGATTCCAAACTCACACTTCAGCATTTTCACAGCAACTCTCATGGTAGACTGTGAGTGGCTCAGACTGTGGGCTATTGCTTCCACCACACGCCCAAAGGCCCCGGAGCCCAGTGTGCGTCCTGCAGCAGGAAGATGAAGGCATATTCTCCATCAGGAACAACATAAGAAAACCATAACTTTAGGACTTTCCAGCTATTAACAGTAATGGGAGGAGTCCGCAGAACAGCTGTGTGGAAAATGTTCAGCTCTTTACTTGAACGATTGGACAGCATGAGTTATTCCACTGGGGAATGACTAAAGTTGGGAGTTATGATGTCTGGGCAAGAGATGGTTTCCACATGACCGATAAGACTCCTGCGCTAGTCACGCTTTCTTCTAAACAACATTGGATGCATTCTACTTGGGACCGCTAGGTGGGGAATTTCTTGCAAATTCCACAGCATCTCATTTATAGCTGCTTATCTCTTTACATATTCTCTGATTATGAGAATATGTGCCTAGTGGCCTCAGTATAATTGGGAACCCATCCCCATTAGTGCATTTGCTGATCACACCCCAGCTGCTATTGCATGGCGCTGCTTCCTCTTCTCTGCATGGCAGGAGTCTTTCTGTACCGCTCCTTCTAAGACAGGAGCAACTTGCAAATTAATGCTATTGCTGAACAAGTGTCGCAATAGCATGCCACAGCTTTCTGGTTCCCCCTAGTGGTGCATTGTCTACCTGGAAGTTGAGTTAGTGCTGCAGCTATTGAATTCTGCTATGGAAACTTGAAGTGCTTTTTCTGTGTACTACCCTCCAGTATCCAAATGCAGAGGACTGAAGAAGGTGGCTCTACGAGGGACTACAAAAATCATTCCTCATCTCCTGTAGTATTGGAAGTTGTAGTCCAAGCAAGACATGGAGGTAGTAGTCCTGGAACAGATCTACCCTTCTTCTGCTTAGTGGCACTAACCATTTAAGCACGAATCCTTTCCCATGGCCTGCTATTCCCCTCACCTAGCACAAGCTTGTCTCTGGGAACCTCCCAGCTGGAGTCATATGGAAGCTGCATGGGGTCCACATAGATATATTCATGTCCATCAGAGCTGACTGATTCAATCACTTTCCAGCGGATTTCATAGCGAGGCTTCTAAGGAAAGGGAAAGGAAGGTGTTAGAAAGGACTGTGCTATGTTGGTATCCAGGAAGTCTGGCAAGATTAGGTGTCCATGTAGTTTTCAGTAAGCACATCCACACATTTCCCCAATCTCCACGTATCAAGACCTCTATCCGAGGGATGGTTTCTGCCTCTCCAGGAAGGCTAATCAAGTGAAGTGATGACATTATGAACACAATGACCACAGAATTATCCACACCTAATTCTTATTGAAATCAATGAGGCTTAAGTGGGCACAGCCATCCTGAATTGTTCTATAGCTTTATCCACCTGCTCACCATGGAACAGCCACATGAAAGCAGCCACACTTCCATTGCTATTTATCATCTTATCAAAAAGAAGTGCTCCCCCAAATTTCCAAATGGCCATTTGGTTCCTGAAACTTTCCATTTTTACTAACTGGTGGTTTTTTATTTTTTAAAAATAAGTTGGCAATTCATATTGAGGGGAAATTGTTTTACAATCTGGAAAATATATTGTGTGTCTCCTACTAGCTCTGGCGAGTAAGATTCTCCTACAGACGTTAGTGGATTTTCTGGGAATAATTCCTTATTTATATTCCAGGCTTATTCTAGATGTGCATGCCTAAATCCTTGCCTACTGACAGTTCATAGTGGTAACTGAACTGCTTCAGCCTAGCAACTATTACCACTGGATTCCTGAGGCTCCCTGTAGCTGAATAGCTAAAGCTTCATGGTTGCTCAGCCAATCAATCAGGAGCATAGGAACATAGAAAGCTGCCTTTGCACCAAGTCAGACTATTAGTCCATCTGGTTCAATATTTTCTACACTGACTACCAGCCGATCTCTGGGGTTTGGGTCAGGAATCTGTTCCCCTAGTCCTTCAGGCCCTTTTCCAAATTGTTGAACTCATTCTCTCAAAAAAGGCTTAACAGTAGGGAAATAATATCACTACCAGGCTCGCTACAGGACTTTTACTGAGACACAGAAAAGAGTCAAGCATGCTCTTACCTTTCGCCACACAGCAACGAGGATCACTAGGAAAATAAACATGAGCACCAGCAAGGCCAGGATAACTGAGATGATTATCACTTTAAAGGGCAAATCTGAAACATTAAATGTATACAGAAACATAAGGTCCCATTCTAATCAAGAGAATACCAAAACACATTTTATTTGCTTAGATTTATATTTTAAAGCCACTTTTCAGCTAGAAATGCTTACACTAAGAGAAATAAAAAGAACATGCCATTGTTTAAAAAACAAAGATGCACAAACACTGCCAGAGGCTCACCTCATATTAAAACCAGAAGCAATGAGCAAACCTGTAAACCTTCCCCACTCGACAGGGAAACGTCGAGAACTGAGTGGGCAGTGCTGGGACACTCAGGGACATTTGAAGGTGGGTCTTGTGTGTGTCTGATTCTGAAGGTCATGGGTTGGAGTCAACTATCTTTTTACTCAACAGGCTTAAGTTAGTCATGGCCATTCATTTCAGTGGGTCTACTCTGAGTAAACATTAGTTGACTACAACCCCATATATCCAAGCAAATGCCCAAACACGACTTTTATCAATGTAAATTACCTGCTTGGAGCTATCCAAGGTCCTGCAACTCCTGCCAGATACTATTTATATATAACGGGAAGCCACCTCAGATATCTGTCATAATCTGTGGGGTCCTACTATGATCACAACAAGACACCATTGTGGACATTATTTTTTAAAAAAACAACATGAAAGAGAGGTGGAATGGGACTGCAGGTGCCTGACCTCTATGCATTCATAAAAAGGTCGGAAAAGAACCTCTGCCCTGCATGTACACCTGAGCATATATTGTATTTTTCGCCCTATAGGACGCACTTTTCCCCCTCCAAAAATGAAGGGGAAATGTGTGTGCGTCCTATGGGGCGAATGCAGGCTTTCGCTGAAGCCTGGAGAGCGAGAGGGGTCGGTGTGCACTGACCCCTCTCACTCTCCAGGCTTCAGGAAGCTATCCGCAAGCCTTGGGAGCCCGCAGGAGTTCCCGCCGGGCTCCCACGGCTTGCACAGAGCTGCCTGCACCCCGAAGCCCGGGCGTGCTGAGCAGTTGTGCCGGGGCTTTGGGTAGCTCTGCACAAGCCGCGGGAGGGCTCCCACGGCTTGCGGAGAGCAGCCTGTTCTGGGGCTGGGGTCAGGGAAGCTTGGGCTTCCCCCGCCCCAGCCTCACGCCTTGGGGGAAAAATAAATTTCCCCCTTTATTTCCCCCCCAAAAACTAGGTGCACCTTGTGGGGCGAAAAATACAGTACATCTCCAAGCCCTAAGTGGTTATTTTGCTTTTTCCTCTGCATGCGTTGGTGCTTTTCTAAACAGGCGTGTCTTCAAGAGCAAGAGAGCCAGTGTGGTGTAGTGGGAGAGCCAGTGTGGTGTAGTGGTTAAGAGCGGTAGTCTCGTAATCTGGGGAACCGGGTTCGCATCTCCGCTCCTCCACATGCAGCTGCTGGGTGACCTTGGGCCAGTCACACTTCTTTGAAGTCTCTCAGCCCCACTCACCTCACAGAGTGTTTGTTGTGGGGGAGGAAGGGAAAGGAGAATGTTAGCCGCTTTGAGACTCCTTAAAGGGAGTGAAAGGCGGGATATCAAATCCAAACTCTTCTTCCTCTTCTTCTTCAAGAGGAATGTCTTGTGTGACTGACTCACCACCATATGCCCAAATCCCCATTTCTCAACACAGGCTGACATCTCTGCTACTTCTCATCAGTCTCTGCAGTTGTGTGGTATATTATCATTGAACATTAAGAATAACTGGGGTGTGGGCATGTGCCAAAACAATTGCATTGACTGTTTTGTCACATACTCAACTTCATTGCTCAGCTTGCATCGTTGGTCTCCTTCAGAGTTTTGTAAAGCAGCTCATATAGGGTTGTGGTGATCACACAACAAAGAAGCCAAAGGAGCCATAGCTATATAGAGCCACAGAGAACAGCAAAGGATTGAGAAACACAATGCAAGGTTCAGTATGTTGCTGATTGCTTTGCTGCTATATCTGGTATGGGAAGGTCTGTAGCTCCATGGCAGAACTCATGCTTTGCACATGAAAGATCCCAGATTCAATTCCTGGCATTTCCAGACAGGGCTTGGAAAGGCTCCTGCCTGAAACCCCGGGGTAAGACTGTGAGTAAAAAATGTTGAACTAAATGCACCATTAGCCTGACTCGGTGTGTCCCTGTGAGGGATTGGGGGGGGGGCAGAGAAAACAAACATTTGAAAAGATTGTACACTTCCATCCCCTTTGCCTTTCTCAAACCTTTTATGGTTTGGGGCACACAGAGGATAACTGCAGTCAAAAGGAATGGTGGTGGCAAGCTTTGCAGGCACTGAACCTGTAGGAGAAGCTAGGCTATGCATTTATCACATTCATGCTTCCGTGTTCAGTATTTTCTCACTCACTTAACACCATCTGCTTTTGGAAATATGCCTCTCATTTTCTCTTACTGTGCCTCTATAACTTGTGCTCCTGTGAGTTAATTTAAACAGTGCCACATTATTCTAGGGATATCAGATGGGACATATGGCATAAGTCGAGGACATGACGATGTTCCTACAATCCTACGCTGAAATAAACATTGCTGTGTGCGCATGCACACACACGTATTATACAAGACATGCTGTGAAACTCACTGTCTGGGACCAAGGTGATGTTCTGAGTATCCGTGCCCAAGAGGTTTTGAGTAGCACAACTGAGGAAGACTGGCTCATCTACTCTGTGGAGGTGCAGCTTGCTTGTCACGATGTAAATCCTCATATCATCTCGGTAAGTGGTGTTTGTTTCCAGAACCATCTCTTCAGAGGCATTCACCAGGGTTTTGGTGGCTTCTGCATCACACCTGTTGTTGAAGATAATCAGCCAATGGAAGACAGCCCAGCTTCTTCAGATGTTTGATTCATTCATGCTCCATCTGAACTGCTGCAACCCAGTCCTATGCCTGCTTACTTAAAAGTAAGTGTGTACATGATTGTATGCGAGGTCTAGTTGGAGACATTCAGTGCAACATCAAGTATGACCCTGAAAGTACATGATGCAGCCCCCTTGCTGAAGCTGCAGCTGGTCATTTATTGAGACTCCTATTCCATCATCTTTTAATTCCATCCTATGCTACTGGAAGTCCCAAGCACAAATGTACCAAACAGGCCCTTCAGAAGTGATCTCCTTACCATTTGGCATTATTGCAGGTATACCAGACAACCTCTGGCTGGGGCATTCCTTCTGTGATGCAGGTCACTGTTTGCTCCCCACTGGTCGTGTTGCTGTCCTCTCTCAAATGGGTCACCTTTGCTGGTACTGGTTATATTGGAGGAAAGAACACAAGAAAACAAGGAGCTGCTTAAAAGGTAGGAAGGAGGTGGTTGGGATAAACAATTCTCAAAAAACAGACCCCCCACCTCTGCCACCCGAAAGAAACATTTGTATTACAAATTATACTATTATTGATAAATACCCAGAATCAGAAACATAGTAGTCCAATTTGAGTCCCTGATTTTGATGGTGTATATATAAACATTCCATTTCCTGATTTCCCAACCTAATAATCAGGGCATTTACATGTGTGCTGAATTTCAGGGCTCAAACTCATTGAAAATCGCCCTAACAATTGTGATGCTATTGTGAGTCAACTGGTTACAGAGAAATCCTGTGCTTTTGCTGCACTGTAGGTTGCTAATGCTGGTGTGTGTCAATATATAGTTGTGATCCTGTGCACTTTCAGAGAGAACAAACAGAGCAGCACCCAATCACAGGACATTTGTGACCTTCCAGCTGCCCAACCCTTGAATCTAGTCATATACACCAAGCCTTAGGAGCCACCAGATGGAACTGTTGCCTTGTAGGTTTAACACACATTAGATCCCAGGTTCAAAGCCTACATGTGGTCACATGGTAGAACTGGCTGGGAGGTCAGAGGCTAGAACAGCAAAGCACCATAGCCAGTCAGAGGAAGTTACCGTATTTTTCGCTCTATAAGATGCACCAGACCATAAGACGCACCTAGTTTTTGGAGGAGGAAAATAAGAAAAAAAATATTCTGAATCTCAGAAGCTAGAACAACAAGAGGGATCGCTGCACAGCGAAAGCAGTGATCCCTCTTGCTGTTCTGGCTTCTGGGATAGCTGCGCAGCCTGCATTCACTCCATAAGACGCACATACATTTCCCCTTACTTTTTAGGAGGGGAAAAGTGAGTCTTATAGAGCAAAAAGTACGGTATTCCATGGACTGACTTGTGGATGCTTGTTATCCTTCCCACCTCCTTGATCCTATTCACCCACATGTGGTTTTCCATTGTCTGCTGCTTATTGCTCCAGCAGATCTTGTTATGTATCTGCCCCTTCAGCCTTCATTTCAGGCTAGATCTACACCAGGGGTCAGGAACCTAAGGCCCATGGGCCGGAAGCGGCTTGTGGAGGTCATTTGACTGGCCCACGAGTTGCCCCCAAACTGAGTTGCCCACTCGCGCGCTGCGCTAAACTGGTGCAGCACGGCGTGGGGACTCGCTTCCGCAGCGCCGAAAATCGCATCTGTGCAGATGCATGCCGATGCCAAAAATCGCAGGCGCACGTGCAATCTGGCCCACAGAGGGATCTCCACAGGACCGATCTGGCCCAGGCAAGAGAAACCTTGCTGACCCCTGAATTCTACACACCTACACAAAAAATGCTCTGAAAACAATCTGCAAAAAAAAAGGCCAAAGAAAAAACCATTGTAAAGCTCACGATTGAAAATATCATTGAGTTGCGATTTCAGCTCTACAGCGCCATCCGGTGCCACAGTGTTATAAAGTATTTATAATGCTGTATTTTGACTAATGTAGCAGAGTCTTCACACAGTCTGATTGTATGATTCACCAGGGAGATGGTGAGATACCAGGATGCTGTCCTTTTGCTAGAGAACATAAGACCAGCCTGCTGGATGAGGCCAATGGCTCATATAGTCCAGCATCCTGTTCTCACAGTGGCCAACTAGATGCCCATGGAAACCTGCAAGCAGTCTGCCCTCATGCAATTTCCAGCAACTGGTATTCAGAGGCATAATGCCTCTGACAATGAAGGTAGAACATAGGCATTGTGGCTATGGTTGGTGGGAGAGTTCCATAGTTGAACTATGTGCTGTGTGAAGAAGTACTTTCTTCTGTTTATCCTGAAACTGCCAACATTCGGCTTCATTGCATGTCCATGAGTTCTATTATTAGAAAGGGAGGGGGAAATTCTCTATCCACTTTCTCCATGCAACGCATCACTTAATAAACTTCTATCGTGTCTACTCTGACTCACCTGTTCCCTAAATCAAAAAGTCCCAAATACTACAATCTTTTCTCATAGGAGTGCTGCTCTATCCCTTTCATCATTTTGGTTGACCTTTGCTGAACCGTTTTTGAATCCTATCTACAACATATTTTGTTTTTTGAGGTGAGACAGCCAGAACTGTACACGGTATTCCAAATGCAATCACACCCTAGATTTGTATAATGGCATGTATGATATCTGCAGCTTTATTTTCAATTCCTTTCCTAAAGATCCCGCAAGGAATTTGCCTTTTTCACAGCTGCCACACACTGGCTTGACATCTTCATTGAGCTATCTGCTATGACTTCTTGCCCTTGGTCAGTCACTGCCCATTTAGATTCCATGAGCGTATTTGTGAAATTAAGATTTTTCGCTCCAACATGAATCACGCTGAATTCCATTTGCCATTTTAACACCTTTTCACTCAGTTTGGAGAGGTCCTTTCGGAGCTCTTCACAATCTTTTTGTTTTAATGACCACAAACCATTTAGTATCATCAGCAAACCTGGCCACCTCATTGCTCACCCCTATCCCCAGATCATTTATATAACAAGTTAAAAAGCACAGGTCCTAATACTGATCTTTAGGGGACTCAACTTTCTACATCTCTCCATTCAGAAGCTGAATACAATGCATAACCTGAGCTCTGGTGGGATGTGGAAGTGTTTAACGCTTTAGGCTAGGAATGAGGAACTTGTGGCATTCAATATGTTGTTGCTGAACTCCTGCTCCCATCAGCAGTGGCCAGGAATGATAGAAGTTGCAGTCCTCCCAGCAACATCTGGAGGGCCAAAAGTGCTTCATTCCTGCCACAGACCCTCTTCCATTAGGAGCTCCATTGTGAAGGTGGGTACAGGTGTGGGGGGGAAGGAAATCCCTTTCCACTTTGCGTTATTATCACACAGAAACAGTTGTCAAACAAGCGAATTTTTATTGAACAGTCACAGTGGGAGAATAGGTTCAGAAATTAAGATGGGCACATGGGGTTCCCAACTTTCTTGTTCCAGCAGGGCTCCTAGGCCTTTGAAAGCTGCATGACACACAACAGGGTACCGGGAACATATTTTGCTGTTACTGCATCTGCATCCTAGTGTGTGACTGCACCTGCTACATGGCTGTCTGTGAAGCAGCTTGCACAGGTACAGGAACACTGTGAAAGCAAATGGTGGTGATCCCATGTGGAAACAATTGCATTCACTCTGGCAGCTGTTGTTGTGGTGGGTCTTGCTGCAGGCCTCGATCACAGTCCACATTCTGTTGGACTTGGAACCAGACTTGCATCTGCACCTGTTGGAGGGTTACCTGGAAAGAGAGACACAGGGGCAGTGATGAGTAATGGTCAATATTATGTTGTTCCGGTGCCCAGATGCTCAGCAGGTGGTTGTGAGCAAGTGATGAAAACAAAATGCTTTAACCTTAGTGCTCTTCCACGTCCCATGCCTCAGACCCGCCCCGCTCCCCTGGCCTGGAGACGCCTGACAACTGCATTCAGAGACTCATCTGTCAATGGTCACAGAAACAAAATTCACCTATCCAATGTAGGGGAGCTGTAGTGGAATTCTGGCTGCTGCTACTGTTTACTCCTCTTCACGTGCCAAGTCCTGATCCTGCAAAGAAAAAGAGGTCATGTGTTTTTGGCCAGAAGCAGCTGCCGCGGTGGTTGAAATGAGTGCTTGGTTTTCTCCAGCAGAAATAGCTGTGCCTTCTGCTGCCTTCATGGTGTCTGGTGCAGTTCTTCCTCCCTATTTATGATGTGTGCCCTGTGTGGAATAAATTTGTGCTATCTGCTGAGCAGTGGCAATGGGTGAGGTGGGGTGGAGCCACCCTCCCAACACTGCTTATCTGAGATAGTGGAGAGATAGTGGAGAGATTAGGGCCATGCTGGCACTGGTGGGACTGCTACCAGCATTCCATTACTTCCACCGGGACATCCATATGGCCCTAACCTCACTGTCATCTTGACTTGTCATAGGCCTGCCCAGATATGCTGCAGTAATGCTGGCATTGCAAGTATGTCTCCGCAGCTCGATCCCACTATATATGTCTCTATACTGCTGCTGGGAAGGGTTGCTTACCAATATGAAGTTTCCAACATTGTGAGGAATTGGGAACATGGAAGGTATGTCATGTCATGTCATGTACAGGATTCGTACTTTGAGGCATGGACTTCCCCTTCCTTGCTTACCTGTGTGGAGAACTTTGTCCTTGCATCTTCTGTCACAGGAGTGAAGCAGAGTTTCCCATGGGGTGTTTGTCTCTGAAGTCCCGAGGCGGAGTTATCTGCAAGGGTTTTTGCTCTCTATTGATCCAGCAAAGCAATTCTTATGGACTTAGCAAGCACACCGTGAAAGAGAGAGCAGAATGAGAGGGCCAAGAGAGAGTGACCTGGACTTACCTATGAAAACATTCTAGAATACTTGGCCTGCCATCTTAAAAAGCACCTGCCACATGGTGTGCAACACTCACACAGTACTGCCATACACAACCGCACTGCTGATTGCAAGCATGCTAAAACTCCACATGTATGGATGCCACATGTGGTGGCGGAGTAAATGCCAGAGTAAACATGGTCACAGATGTAACTTTTGCATGAAAAATGTACCCACTCTTTCTGAGTGCTTAATACAGTACAGCAAAGTGGCCAGAGACTTGATGAAACATGAACAGTCTGACAAAGTACGTTTTCCTTTCCTAAGCTCTGCAAATAGAAACCTGCATTCAGATAATCCTCCAGTTTTGCATGTGAGTCTTTGGCAAGGTCTGCAGTGCAGTGGGAGGGAGCCAGGGATGTGAAATATGCACCACTCTGATTTTATTGGTGCGCCTCTGTCATCAATGCTGTTCCCTACAATTGGTTTTTGTTTGTTTACTGTGCTATGGCTTTGTATTTGTACTTCAAAACAATAAAGCATATTTGCAAAAAAGAAAAGAAAAGAGACTCATTTGTTCAGTGGTACAGAAGTGAGTGCAGTGTCAATCCCTTTGGCAGTGGGACAATGCTAGTTCCCTGCCCTTGACATTTGTGTTGCTTTTGTTTAAATGAGCTGGGTTGATAAATAATTTCCTAGTGCAAGATAAATTTTTGCAAAGAAATCTGCTCACCATTAATCTGTAAGGTGAAGGAGAGCTCTTTCAAGTCATCTTCATGGAATGCTCGGACAGTATATAAACCTCCCTCACTCTGTTTCACCCTCACAAGGGTTAGAGTAGTATGGTACCTGGAGGAATTAGAACCTTATGTAAATTAAGATGCTGGAGCAGATGATCAACTCATGTAGAAGCACGAAACCTGCTACAGTTAAAGTGGCATTTGAAGACTCATGTAAAATTATTGGAGCAATCCAGAAAATTGCCCATCATGGGCTAAAAGAGACTTTTTTCTTTCTTTCAAGGCAGGAATTTCCCCCCATACAGAAAAGGAAAGCCACAGTGCTTTCGAAGCACACTGTAGTCATAGTACTTGCTCTGTCATCTTTTTCCCATCCTGGTTTGTTCATGCAGGCTGACAGGGTGTGTGTGACCATGTGGATCCAGGCAATGGTTAATGCATCTTTGTATGAGGGGATGGTCCCTGCCACTTTGAAGGAGGTGGTAGTGTATCCACCCCAGAGAAACATGATCCCTGGAGTCTGAGGTAGCTGATAACTACTGATTGGTCACTAAGATCCCCTTTTGGGGCAAGGTGCTCATGAGGGGAGTGGTGGTTCAGCTGCAGGAACTTTTGGAGGAAATTGATTATTTGGACCCATTCCAATCTGGGTTCAGGCCAGGTTTCGGGCCAGAATTTCACCTTGGTTGCTCTGATGGATGCCATTTTCTCTGAACAAGATTGCCAGTGTATGAGTGATGGTGGCACCTGCCCAGGAAATGGGACAGTTCATGTACCATCTGAAGCTGGTGATAGGCACTCTTTGCCACAGAGAAGACTTGGGCCTCCATGTGCAAAGGTGCTCCCAAAGCCTCAACAGCATACCTATTCCTTCAGAAGCAGTGCAACCCCTTCTAGAAAAGACGAAATGCCCAGTTCCTGGACCTAGGAACCACTCAGACACAGTGTCTCTGCTTTTAACAGGATTCATTTTGTGAGCCCTCATTCACTGCATCCAGGCAGGCACTGGTTCAGCTTGCACACAGCCTTAATGGAGACTCACAGCTGGGTGTGATCAGGATTGTGCACCCCAGATGACTACTCCCAACAGCTTCATATAGATGCTAAGTAGCATCAGGGATAAAATAGTGCCTTGTGGCACCCTGCAGCTATGTTGCTAGGGTGTGGCATAGACTCCCAATACCATTCTTTGAGACTAGTCTTGCAGGTAGGAGCAGAACCACAACAGATCAGTGCCTTCAACTCACAGAGATGTTCTTGGAGGATGCAGTGGTGGACAGCATTAACAGCCACGGAAAGATCCAGAAGGAGCAACCAGGGTCACACTCCCTGGCTGATTTTGCTAGCTCATCCGACAGCAGACACTTACTTGGTTTCTGAGGAATTCCTGGTGCTGATGGCAAATTCACTGTTGCTCTCTGAAGTCAGGGGCTGATTATTCTGAAGCCAAACGATGGTTGGGCTTGGATACGCCTCAATCAGCACATGGAAGGTGTGGCTTTTGTGCAGTTCAGCAGACACTGTGTCATTCAGAATAGTGTGGAAGGTCACAAAGCCATGCTCTAGATAAGAAAAAGTGGGAGAGAGAATTCACAGGTAAGCAGAGTGGCTTTGACTTTGCCATCTTTCCAGCTTCCTCTTTCAGATCTATGTGTTCTGCAGTTTGAACAGCTGAAAAGAAATCAAAGTGACTGAGTGGGTAGGAAGGAAATGGGATCAAGTTGAGAGATTGGAGGAAAACAGAGTGATCAGCGGGGAGCAAGGGGAGAATGTAGAGTGTCACAAGGGGAAAAGAGAAAGAACAGAGTCTCCAAGGCAGTGCATGTGCACACATGTTGGATCCAGTAAAACGGATGGTTTTAATATTGCACTTCTTTCATGGGTTACCAACACCCCACCATCAAGTCACGGCTCACATCTGTTTCTTAATGGAAACAACAACAAAATCACAGATCTGACACTTTCCAACGCTGCCATGGTGCAAAAACATGAATCTGAGGCATGGATCCTTAGGGATCCTTGTAATTTTTACAATTCCTCCAAAAACCACCATCAAAACATAAGTCACCTTGTGTACATAGGTGTTTTTTGTGACTTCTTGGTGGTTTTGTTGTCATTTAGTATAAAAACCATGAATACATGTGAGGCTCTGTGTTTTGGAACAATGCTTTTGCGCTCCTCAGAAACACCAGATCTGTGGTTTTAACAGTTCACCAGTGCAAGCTTTTGGGGGAACCCACTGAAAATTATACAGTCAAGAGGATCTACTTTAATTCTACTGGATATACAGACCCCATGGAAAAGTGTTCATGTTTTATGTTTTTCTGTCTGTTGATGTATGACCTGGCTGAAGAGGGAAATAAGTGACCAGAGGGAGAGGTGCCCACAGGCCCCACAAAGGTTGGCAACTCTTTTGCAAGGTAATAGTTCTGTAAAATAATCAAAGCTCAAAAGTTCATAGACTCAGTTCAACACCATCTAATTAAATTTCACCAGGCTGATGGAATTTTATATACAAACATACCAATCACTCTGATAAAGATGCTTTGTGTTTCTTTTTGCCCATGATAGGTGTCAGTGGCCTCACAGATATAATCTCCTTCATCCTCCAGCTCTGCATTGTGGATGGTTAAGGTGGTACTAGTATCGCGACTGCCCCTTGTTCCAACATCGGTCCATGGTTTTACCTCCTTGCCTACCTGCAGAAGAATGGTAAAAAGATTACATGATGTAAATAGCGCTTAGCATTACAGAAGTTTTTTCAAGTGTGTTGAAGGGTTTGTTGAACCCACGTAGCCATGCTCAAATGATTGAAGGTAAGAGCATAAGAATGCGAGATAAGCCTGTTGGATCAGGCCAATTGCCCATTTAGTCCAGCATTCTGTTCTTACAGTGGATGACCAGGTGCCTATGCAAAGCCTGAAAGATGGATAATGCCCCTTGCAGTGGAGGTAGAGCATAACAATCATGACTACTAGCTACTGATATATAGGTAAAGGAGCCTCTATAGGAGTCATTCAGGGATGTGCAAATTACTTCTCTGCTGTTCATATGGCACTTGCATTTGGCATCTATTTTCCATCTAACAAATCAACACATCTGATGTTGAAAGGCCCTTAGAAGAAAGCACCATGGCAGTGTACTAATACATAAGTAATAAGACAGCTTGGTATGCTTTTTCCCATTCTTCTACTCAAGCAACAGATTGCGTTCACTCTTTTATTTATATTTTATTTTTAATAGGAGTATTTACATACTACCATCTCATAAAGTATGCAGTCCCAAAATAATTACTGATTGTGGGAGGGAGTGTCCACATTTGGCTTTGTAGCCCAGTTATTACACTCAAACAGTTGCCTCTCTGCTATAATGACTGCCCACCCTTCTACAGAGAAGACAACATGGCAATTAGTCCATCACTTGTGTTATGTCCAGTCTGGATGAGAAGACAAAACAAACCTCCTCTCCCTCCCAGCCACTCCCCCCCCCCCGGCCATTTACTTACCTTCTGGCCAGGATAACTCCAAGTATAATTGACCAGATCAATGCCTCTCACTGCACAAGTCACACTGATATTTTCCCCTTGTTTCAAAATAGTTTGCACAGCACTGACAGTGACATTGATGACGGAGGTAGGAGAAGAGGAAACTATAAAAGGGGAAATTTCAAATTAGTATGAAAAGAAGCCAAAATTACAGGAGGACAGATTCACGTGACTGAAAATGCACATGGGATGTGCACCAAGTTCATATTGCTGGCTTCATGGTTGTTGTATGATTATTCCTTTGCACATTGAGTTTAATTTTCTCTCTATGAAGATGTGAGTAATCCTGCTGCCACCTCACAAAATAAATCTCAGCATAGGCTAAAGAATAAATATGGCAACACAATGGAGTAATACATCAGGCAACTGTTCCAGGTGCAAAGCACACTGAACACTCTGCGGACATGGCCAATTTTAATTGAGCAGGTCCACTTCCAAAAGGTTGTCTTGCACTTTGGGCAGGAGGGTGGACTGGCTTCATCTGCTACATGTTGTTCAATGGGTGAGACTCAACACCAAAACCCAAAATTAGGCTGCTGTATTTCAGTATAGAAAGACCGTAACTTTTAACTGAAGAGCAACTCCTTTGCCCACATTAGATGAGGAAAGTATTATGAAAAGGTTCACCTTGGATGCTGTACACATAAAATGTTTCAGAGTCAAACTCCTGCTCATCCAATGTTGCCCTGCAGATGTAGGACGTGTCTTCAAAGTACCCCTTGAAGCCTTGTTGTGCAAAATAAGTGCTGGGGATTGGGTCATCGATCTTCTTTTCATAAAGGGTCACTCTTGTGTTGGGGTCTGTCACACGGCATGGGATAATGTCTTCACCATGGCCTGTGGTGAAAACAAATGTGTCCTCTTGGCTGCTAGGTACAAATGGCAAAGAGGGGTCTATAGGTAGAAGGAGGTGGAGAGAAACCAATTAATTATGCAACGGCACAGATAAAATTCAGTAGCAATAATAAAAAAGATGAATTCCTGGCATAAGACATTTGTAAACTGAACGATGAGTAATAATAATAATTTATTATTTATACCCCACCCATCTGGCTGGGTTTCCCCAGCCACTCTGGGCGGCTTCCAACCGAATATTAAAATATTATTAATATTAAAAACAATACAGAATAACGATGAATTGGAAGAGACTCAGCATCAGGTTTAGTGTTATTGGAATAGTAAAGGTAAAGGGACCCCTGACCATTAGGTCCAGTCGTGACCGACTCATCTCATTGTGGCGCTCATCTTGCTTTATTGGCCGAGGGAGCCGGCTTATAGCTTCCAGGTCATGTGGCCAGCATGACTAAGCCGCTTCTGGTGAACCAGAGCAGCACACGGAAACACCGTTTACCTTCCCGCTGGAGCGGTACCTATTTATCTACTTGTACTTTGACATGCTTTCGAACTGCTAGGTTGGCAGGAGCAGGGACCGAGCAACAGGAGCTCGCCCCGTTGCGGGGAATCGAACCGCCGACCTTCTGATCGGCAAGCCCTAGGCTCTGTGGTTTAACCCACAGCACCACCTGCGTCCCTGTTATTGGAATAGTACAGTCCTATTTTCTCTCTAGCTTGGACAAAGCAGTGTTTCCCTCTTTTCAGACTGGAGTTGTTGCAAAATAAGATTATATTTCTTTAAGGTGGGCCATCTCTGGAGATGGTAGGGTTTTGTGGAAACTGGACATGGTAAAGAAAAGAGGAATGGGGCTAGAAGCACACTGCCCACAAGAGTTTGGGTTGTTGTTTGTTTCTTGCATATGCCACAAAGTTAAAACCTTTGGGCATTCACAGGCCCAAACCACACCACAGATCACCTTTCTTCAACATCCTCCTATATATTCTACTCTTCCAGATCTCCATGCATGCACACCAACCCAGAGACTTAAAAGGAGCAAAGCACTGCAATCACCAATACCTGGTACAAAAATGTAGATGGCTTTTTCCTCTGCGGATTGTTTGTAGAGACAGGAATATTCACCCGTATCATAGCCGGTCACATTCCTGAGTGTAAGGATGCTAATAAAAGTGTTGTCCCTTCTCTCCAGCCCAGTGTCTAATATGGGTTTGCTGTCCTTTTTCCAATAAATCTCGTTCTGCCCTGAGCATATCACAGAAAAATCACTGTAGAGACTGAGGATGACTTCTTGGTCATTAGGAGAAATCTCCAGGGAGCTGGTTTGTGGCAATCCTTGAAGAAAAACAAATCATAAGAGAAACACTAAAGTCCCACAGTTCAGAAGCTGAGGTGGTGGTGTTAGTCACTTGTTACCCAAAGGTCTCCAAGCAACTTACAATATATGGGAGTAGAATGTGCAGTGGTGAATTCAGAAAGCGAGATCAGAAATGGAAGCAGCATATTAATCATTAATAATGCATTCATTGTTTTAACTCTTGAATTGCATGCAAAGCTCAACCGCAATCCTGATTGCTTTAGTGGTTCTAACACACTGGTCAATCACAGATGTTGCATGAAAATTCATAGGCATATATGAGATAATTGGCCTCTTTCTCCACCTACTATTTCTCAACCAAAAGTGAGAGCCTGGTGTTGGTCCTTAATTGCTTTGTTATGGCAAAACCAAACATTATAAAGAAAACACAGATTTGCTCAATGATGATTATATGGTGTGAATAGATAATTAAGGTTGCAATCCTCGACGCACTTACCAAGAGACAGGTACCATTACATTAAATAAGATTTACTTCTGAGCAGACGTGAATAGGATTGCACTGTCAGACATCAGCACAGGGCCATAGGCAGGCATAGGCAAACTCAGCCCTCCAGATGTTTTGGGACTACAACTCCCATCATCCCTGACCACTGGTCCTGTTAGCTAGGGATGATGGGAGTTGTAGTCCAAAACAGCTGGAGGGCCAAGTTTGCCTATGCCTGGCCATAGGAAAGCCACAGGATAATGCATATATTTTCTTCTCCTAGAACGTTTAATATTCTGGCTTTTTAATACTAAGTTGAAGAAGGGGAGACTCATAGGAACAAACTGCATTTCATTGTTTTTTTCTATCATGTATTTAAAAGGTGAAGTGTCTTCCATGACACTTATTTCCATTATGTGATTTCATTTGCAGGTTGTGTTGGATAGATCTAGTCATGTTCCAAATGTGAGAGGAAAATCGCAACAAAGCTAAAAGTAAAATTGCCAGGAAATCTTTCGGAAATGTCAAGGTAGACAATGTCTTCCTGAATTGCTTCCTATGAGCCCATCACAGCTGCCAGCTTCCTAGCTTTTGCAGAGAGGTTTCCCAATGTTACTAGAGAGTGGAAACAGCCATATAAGAAGGATATGCTATACTCCACTTAACTGTCCTCCTTCTCCTTGTGTAATTGTGCTCCCACAGTTATTATATTGGTCATGGAAGTACAACAGTCACAAATCATTTCCCATTGCATAGGACAATGAAAGGAGAGTGCAAAATGCTTCCGTTTAGAAATGCACACTGCAGCTTGTCCTTAGAAAGACAGAAAGAGTCTTGCAGATTTATCACCAGGCTATCTCTCCATGTAGTACTGCCAATTCCAGGATTTCAAAACTCATCAATCTGAGCTTCCAAAATATGAATTACTTTATTTATTCATGGTGCTTTTCAGCACCCTGCCTTTCCATTAAGAGGTGGCTTACAAATGTTAAAAACAATGAAATAGTAAAGGTAAAGGTACCCCTGCCTGTACGGGCCAGTCTTGACAGACTCTAGGGTTGTGCGCCCATCTCACTCAAGAGGCCGGGGGCCAGCGCTGTCCGGAGACACTTCCGGGTCACGTGGCCAGCGTGACATTGCTGCTCTGGTGAGCCAGAGCCACACACGGAAACGCCGTTTACCTTCCCGCTAGTAAGCGGTCCCTATTTATCTACTTGCACCCGGGGGTGCTTTCGAACTGCTAGGTTGGCAGGTGCTGGGACCGAACAACGGGAGCGCACCCCGCCGCGGGGATTCGAACCGCCGACCTTTCGATCGGCAAGCCCTAGGCGCTGAGGCTTTTACCCACAGCGCCACCCGCGTCCCACAATGAAATAATACACAACAAAAATGGAAAAATATAGTAAAGGGACCCAAAATATTTGAAAGACTTTTGTTTTTGTTGTTGTCTTAAAACAAATGAACAGCCACCCTGATCTGCTTTTTAAACATATTTTGCCCACATCTAAATGAATAAAAAATGTTCCCCACAAATACAGCAACAGTGACTTACTATGCTCAGGACATTTAGAAAATAACATGAATAAAAGGTGTAATTGTAGCAGGGGGAAAACAGGATGTTGAGGGACAGCAGTGGAGACTGTGAAGCAGTAAGTTTTGAGCGTGGGCATCTAGGAAGCAGTTCTGGCCTTGCTCTTGGAGCGTAAGGAAAGTGAAGGTACTCATGTTGTTTCATTTGGTGCCAAGGCACAAAATCTTTATTTTGAAGGTCCCTTGCCTGAAGGATGTCAGATAGACAGCTTCTTCAGCTGCCAGAAAACCTCTGCCAGAAATCTTCCATTTGTGTAGAAAGAAGGAGAAAAACACTTTAAGAGACCTGCACAATTTGCAAATAGGGATGAACAGATCACTTTATTTCTAGTCTGTATTGGTTTGCATGTGCTCCATTTCTCCATTTAATCTCCAATTTTAAAATAATTCAAAATTCATATTTTTGAATGTATTTTCTAATAAATATACATTTTGAACCCCCCCTCAAAACACACATTTCTAAATCTATTTCTCCATCTTTATATGCATTAGGGTATTTTTTTTAAGCCAAGAAAGGTGCAAAGACTGAGGGATAACTGTACTTCAATCTGCATAATAATCCAGGAGATGTGGATCAGATCAGTTCATACTGAAATTCACAAATAATTAATTCCTTAAACATTGCTGTTTATAAGCGACCAAGGTGAACTCAGTCCATCCAACAGCAATGGCAACTTCAAGCAAAGCATTTCACTGAGTGGATGTGCCAGTCTGCTAATGTTTGCACATAAAGCTGCATAATAATAATAATAATAATAATAATAATAATAATAATAATAATTATTATTATTATTATTATTTATTTATTTATTTATTTATACCCTGCCCATCTGGCTGTGTTTCAGGACACAGCAACATGATGAAAAGCTGACAACCCTACTATGCACACACAAACATTTCTTTCATCCCACTGTCACTTCTGATGAAATTTTGCAATTTTTTGAAGCAATACCACACAACATCTGAAAAAAGCAGGAAGAGTGTACAGCAAACCACCAGAAGCATCCCTTTTTAAAAGCGACTTAAACTTTCTAAAAAAAACACCCCACAATCCTTTAATTTGGTTCAGCTTCAGAGAAGCATGTGGGTACTTCTGCTTAAACACAGGGTAGTTTCAACTTCCCTTTTCTGAGAGCAACCCTTAGATGCCCCTTAAAATCTCCCTAAAGGTTTTGGACCCTCTGTGGCAGCAGCTCATTCCACCCCATTTTGTTTATGTATTGTGATATATGCGGTTCTTATCTGATTGTTTGCAATTGTATATTGAATCATTTTTAATTGTTTCACTTACAAGGCAGTGAAATTACTTTAAAGAGGGGTGGCATATAAATGTTTTAAATAAATAATAAACAATAAAATAAATGACATTTATTTACTTTTTGCATTTATCGATGATCTATTAATAACACCCTATAGGGAGAAAAGAGAACATTTAAACATTAAACTAGCACATGCTCGAGAAAGCCTCCAACCTTCAAGACAGAGCTTGAGAACCTGAGGTCCTCCAGATGTTGTTGGATTCCAATTCCCAGCCTGCATGGCCAATTGCCAGAGATTAAAGGGGTTGAAGTCCAGCAACTTCTAGAGGGCCACAGGCTCACCATTCTTGTTTCAGAGGCTACCACTGATAAGCAAAATTAGCCTCTCCCTTGCTGATACAGAAGCACATTGCACATACTTGGGTTCATCCAAGCCCCTGTCTTCAACCTAAATCTATTTCCTCATAGCTGCTTTAAATGGAATTGTGGGCTGCGTATTTATTCCTGTTTTGCGAGTTGTACAGGCCTGCCCTACAAGAACAGGAAAATGAGCATGTCGCAGCCTATGAAGGGGAAAAAGTCTTTCTTTTAAATGCTACTGTGCCTGCACACTAACACTGCATGCACATGGCTAACACAGGGGGACATGTCTCAACAGGAGAATGGCCATATCTGCACCTCCTTTTCTCTTCATCTATCCTGTGCACTGTGGGGATTCCTTGAGCAGTTCACACAGACACACCTAGTCATGTGTTTGCTTACCTGTGAGAAAGAACAGCAAGAAGAGGAGCATCTTCAAAAACAGAAGTCGCATCATGGGAGCTTCTTTCGTAGCAAGCAATGCCCTGTTAAAAAAGCAAATTCTTGTGAGTAGAAAGCTGGAGAATACCCAGAGATTTGGAGATTACAAATGTGACTAGCAATTCCACAGGAGACATCTTCTCCCTGTAGACTTAATTACTAACATCCTCTTTCTCAGCCCCAGACAGGGACCACCAGTGTAGGTGGAGAGAGGAAATCAGCAAGGGAAATCCAAGGTAATCAAAAGTTCAATTTGCCAACCTTTTGACAATGAACATTGAAGCGAGCCTCATACAGAAGGCAAGTCCACAAAGTGCAAATCCTTGGACTGGTCATACACTGGATCAATGTTGGTGAACAGCCAGCCTATGCTACCTTCCTCCACACTATAAGTTGGTTGTGTATTGAGTGCATGCTGATTGCTGAAGATCCAAACAGAGTCTGCAGGGATTGCTCATAATTCCTCAGCTTTAATTTTGGAACAGCGTTAGCATAGGATCATAACCACAGCATTCCAGATTAATGAGCTATGAAGCATCTTTGTGACGACTCATGGTACTTCCTGCGTCATCTAAGGGCCAATTTATTTTACTAGCTGGATATAGTAGGTGTACAGAGTGTGTATGTTTGAAACCACTACAACTCATCTGGTTTTTATATATGTCTTCTGAGCAACAACACTTCTCCAGTACATGTGAGGATTACTACTAATCATAACACTTGGGGTTTATACAGTGATTTTTTTATTATTATTATTTTGCAAAGTTTAGCAAATTATAGAACTGTGGAGTAAATTCCTTTTATTCCCACTTTACAGATGAGACAGTGAGCCTGAAGATGGAGGCCACACCCTTTATTTAGAAACTGGCTGTAGTACTTTTTCACTTGTTCATATGGATATTTCTATCACCAGGTTACCTATAAATGCGATGACTATGCTCAGAGCAATGCAGTCTGGTTTTGCCGGCTCTGCACAACAGGAAAGTGGCAACCTTGCCATGCCCTGCCCTACCCACCACCCAGTATGCCACTCACCGGAGACTATGGGCTGATTTCCCAAGCAAACAAGGATCTTCACTGGATCTTGTGAGATTGCTGTTGTGCACTCCACAATATCTTGTCAGGTTTTTGGTGAGATCAGCACTTTTGCCTCATGGGTGTGCTGTGCCTGGTTATGTGATTGATCTCTAACACTCACAGTTTCTTTAAAATCCTTTCTTTTAAAAAATCTAAAATATATGGGGTTGCATATGGATTTGCTGTTGCCTATATATGATATGGTGTGTGACTGATTCTATTAAAAAAACAATCCCAACTTTCCTAAGCGCAGTGGCCAATTAGAAATTCATTGTCTTCTTATGACTCTTTGAAAGTTGTCATGACTCTTCAAGGAACAAGGCCAGGGATTCAGAGGAAATATCATTGCCATATGTTCCCACTGCACCAGAAGGTTTAGCAAAAGCAGAGTCTGAGTTGCCAGCACCTCCCTAGTCTGTTGAGTTCACATTGCCTCAGTGAAGCCATCATTTCCCCTGTTTGCTGAATTGGGCCAGACCCCTTTAAATGAAGAGGCTTTGAGCGCTGGAAGGGGAGATCACCGCCCGCTCTATTTAGGGCTCGCTTTGTGTTTGCCTGCCATTGAAGCATTTTGAATTTGCTTGCATGACCTTTCAGCCTGAGCTTTGCATGGAGCTATCCAGGGTGCTACTTGCTTTGCTTGAACTTTGCCTTGCTGGAACTTGACCCTTACCATATTTGGCATTGCCTTACTAGAACTGGAAACTGGCTTTGCCTTGCTGGAATCTGAATCACTCACCCAGCTCCCTACCCACCACCAATACTTGGGATGGAATCCTATCTGGCTGAGACCACTGAAAGAATAAATAAATTCCAAGAGACGGTGTAATTTGTATGCCCCTTCCTGTGATATGTTTTCCTTAGCAAAATGAAATATGTGCCTTGCCAGCATGCAGAGATCAGTACACTACAGATTTCAGCTTATACAATCTGTTTATCATATTTCTTGTGTTAAGTATGTACTGAATATTTTTGCAAGGTTTTTTTTTTAAAGACTTTGTTTGAAGAAGACCAATTCGGCCATAATTCTATCATTCCACAGTTCTAGTGACTAGAATTATGGAACTATAGGGACACATGTTGGCCTGCAAAGAAGATTCCTCCCTCCCTCATGAGCTTTCTTTGCCACCACCATCAGCAGCAAGAGGGCTGGGCTGGGGTCTTTGTACATCACATGTCCATAGTGACTCCAGTGACCTTTGCTCGTAATAGCTCTATGAACTCTGATTGGTTGATACCACATGCCCAGAGATGGCAGCAGTAGTGGCAGCAGAAACACCAGTTTAACTGGAGAAAGGGCTCTCAAAAACATGACTCTTAAAAACATCTCCTTACCCCTACCCCCCTGGTGGACCTTCCTTGATACAACACATGATACAAGACTCATTTTATTATTGCGAAGTGCTTTGTGAACCATTATGACGGATATGCATTATAGGCAAGTGTTGTAAAACAATAAATGGATAATTCCAGAAAAGTTAGGCTGCCATTCTATGTACACATACTTGGGTATAAGTTACACTAAACCCAATGTGCATGCATAGGATTAGAGTATTACTATTTCTGAACAGAAGTGAGAACTTCTCCATACTCCACAAGGACTAACCTTCATATCACAATGGTAGCTTGATAACTGTATACAGTCATACCTCGGGTTAAAGTAGCTTCAGGCTGAGCATTTTTGGGTTGCGTTCTGCGACGACTCGGAAGTAATGGAACGGGTTACTTCTGGGTTTCGCCGCTCGCGCATGCGGAGATGCTCAAAATGACGTCACATGCATGTGCAGAAGCGGCAAATCGCGACCCATGCACACGTAGACGCATCAGGAAGTGATGCTCAGGAAGTGAATGGGGCTCCGGAACAGATCCCGTTCGCATCCAGAGGTACCACTGTAAATGTAATGGGGTGGGAATCTCATTTATAAGGAAATGCCTATTCATTCAATTTTCCTATGCACAGCTGCTCCCTTTATTCCCATAGGATGCAAAGGGAGGATATAATAATAATAATAATAATTACTATTATTATTATTATTATTATTATTTCTACCCCACCCTCCCCAGCCAAGACCGGGCTCAGGGTGGCTAACACCAAATATTTAATACATTAAAAACACAAAATCAAATGATTGGTTAAAATACAGTTCAAAATCACATTTAAAATCAGAATAAAATTAAGTGGGAACCCACGAATCACAGCCGTAGGGGTAAGGAATATTAAATGTTCACCAGGCCCACCCACCCATGCTGGTCTCATATGGGCCAATAGAAAGAGCCAACTTTCTGCCTGAAGAAGTAACTCTCTGCCTGAAGAGAGCATGCCCATATCATATATCTAAATAACATTTGTGGATCTGATTTTATCAGCAAAGGGGGAGCATGGTTGAGGAGTACAGTGTTCTCCTCCCTAGTGGCTTATTCCCCCAGTTTTCTTCCCTGAGTGCTTAGCTCAGCAACCTGGGATGGGGACTATGTGAAGGAACCAGCACCCTTCACTCGCACACCTGCTTGCTGTATCAAAATTGGATTCGTCTCTCTGTTATGCGATTTGCACAACTCACCTGGAGAATATTGCAGCCGTGATCATTAGCTCCCTTCTCTTTCCTGGTTTTAGCCTACATAAACGGTCTTAAATGGTTTAAGCCCCATATACCGTTAAGACTAGGTCCTCCCATATATCCCATTCCAATCTGTAAGATCTGCCAAGAACATCTTCTTTCTGATACTGTTCTCACACAGCAATGAGGCATTCTCTGTGGCCATTCCCTAGATATGGAACAGTCTCACCCTGTAGGTGTAATAAAATCCAAGCAGAGTCCTATCAGTCTGGGCTGGCTTTCAGAGTGAAGGTGGCAGAAGGTGCACATAGGGTAGCTTTTAATAATGACATCTCACTCTTTAAAAATACATATTTTTATTATCCTCTTGAGCTTTCAGGTTGAAGAAGGCTAGAAAAACAAAGAAGCAAATAAATGTTCTTTTCCCAAGAAGTAGTCCCTTTCCAGACAACTGTTTCAAGGGAATGTGCAGACATCACTCAGCTGCACAGGAAATCCAAATGTTTTCCCTCCAGATAGTACATCAGTTGTGGGGAAATTTCATTTTGCAAGCCCTCAAACCACAAGTTAATGGTGCTGGGAAATGCAACCCCCTCCTAAGTTCCCCCACCCACCCGCTCTGCTAGTGTTCCTATTTTGATTGATTGTGCCTTGGAAGGACCTCACTTGGATTTCATGAGCAGCTGATGGATGGTGCCCATGGCGTCATTGGTGACCAAAGGCATACTCCTGCTCACTGCTGCTCATGGCACCTTTTGGAAAGCTATTTGTCCAGGTTAAAATTGTTTTTCTAAGAAGCTGAGCTTTCTATGCCCTACCAGACTATCAGGTTCATATAACCTTTACATTTAAAAAACATAATAATCCTGGTGAACACCAGCACCTTTCCTCACTGCACTTTCATCCCCTGCCCTCTAGTTTCTTCCTATTTTGTTCCTCTTTGGCTCTGCATTCCTCCTCTTCAGTAATCACCTCTGAAGCATGCATGTACTCTGGTTTCATTTTTGGTTTTAAGTGGGGTGGAATAGCAAACCGGCACAGTACAGAGCTACTTCTCACTGCAGCAAGGAGTTAATAGTGGGACTAAGAAACTGCATTACTAGTGCAAATCAAGCCAGCACTATGTTACCATACTAACATAAGTATTTATTTATTTTACTTTAAAAACATTTTTATGGTCCACAGGATGTGGCTCTCAAGTAGACTTAATCAGCTTTCTCCCTGGAAATTAAACACTGATCCTTGCCATTATGGCTCAGTCACCAAACTTTATCCTCGTGAGAAAAGTGACGAGTCGCTGTCTCCAGTACACAGATAAAAGGCTGACAAACAGGAAATACCCTAAAGCCTAAACTATTTAACATGTCGTACTTTTGAACAGCCTAGACCCCCCGATACAGGACCATAAA